GGTGGGGGTGGGGGGTCCACAAAAATAAACAATAATGAACAAGAGTCTGCTTCTAGACCTGCAGAAAAAGACAAGAAAAAAAAAGCAAAAGAACAAAAAAATGGGACACAACAACAACATAACAAGATCAAGCTATCACTGCATCAACTTGATGAAGAAATATATAATCAACATTGTTTAACTGAACAATCACACGATAATAAATCACAGTGCATTAAGTGCCCACCATAGTCTTAAGACCTGTGTTTAACGTACCCAAGCCCATACTTACGAGAGCGCCATGTGAGCACCTGTGTGTGTACACGCGTTTGTTTATGTAAGGTTTCTCTATAGGAGCGTCCAATAGAGAGTGTGAGAGACCACAGATCTGCCCCCCAAAGATGTGTAGGAGACGGGGGAGCTCCAAGTCCCAGAGATCCAGGCACTGCCCCAGAACACAGGAACCCCAAGGAGACTGCAACCAGAAAGGCTCCCGCTCCCCTCGAGAGGCACAGAGGATCGCCCCGGGGGGCCACAACCAGCAGCTGGCAGAGTCCCGGGAGATATCAGCGGCAAGCCCACAGGCCCGCCCGCAGCCTCCCACCCCCTAGCCGGCCGAGCCCGGGATCCAGCGACCCGGGACCCAGGGGCAACCACCCCCGCCGGGGACCCAGCAGAGCCCAGGGACCCAGACCCCACCAGGCAGCCACCGGGATTGATCAGGCAGACGCCAAAAATCTTAACCCCCCTGACCCGGGAGCCACGAACACTCAGGCAGACCAAGGCACCACACCCCACACCATGTGTGGCAGGGGGAGGGGGGATGAAGATCTATATCATCAAAAGAAGTTCCAGGAGAGGGGAGGAGTCAAAGGCCCCACCTGACGTATACAGTCAAACACAGTCACACTCTCCCTCCCTCATGCTCACACATGCACATACAACCCAAGACTTACAAAAATGCATGCCGGACACCCATTCATGCTCCCCATACACACCCTATTCACTCTGGTCCAGGTACTGCTGCACATTGGGTACAACCATCACCGGTTCCCAGAGTTTGACCCTTTCTGCTGGGGTGCTGATGAGCAGGCTCCCCCGCCCAACGCTGAGCACAGCAACCCACCACCCCAGACCCCAACCAGACGGCCAGATCTCCCTCCTAGCCTCCAGTCCCAGGAAGCCAAGCAACAACAGAGGTGTGCTAAGACCCCTAGTCTCCCTCCACCTGCTCCAATATAGTGTTGTGTGTTCATGAGGTGTATTCCATGGCTGTGGTGAGCGGACAGTGTGGGCATTGTCTGGCCTATGCCAGCTGATGCCACCGCACCACCCCACTTGCACCCACAGCCCTCAGTGTCTAAGTGCGGTTTAAAATTGGAAGTGGGCACTGGCACCCGGGAGGGGGCTGAGAAATCCCCCTGCCAAGTGCCATTGAATGTACTCACTCCCAAGGCCCCAAGTGTGTGTTTGCGTGGAATGTCATCAGTGGAAGTGTATAAGGTGCAAATAAAATTGGGGGGCAGGTTGCCACAGGAATGCGGAAATGGGGTCCATACCCGCACTCCCTGACTTGTCCACCCCCCAAGGTCCTATGTGTATGTTTGTGTGATGATGTGAGGGAGCATGAGGAGAGAAATATGCGGGGATGGGGAGGAATGGCTGGTTGAGCTTAGCCCTCCAGGGAGCCAGCTCCCCTACTGGCCCCAATAGGCACCTCTGTTGTCAAATTGCCACCCAGGGCATAAAGACCCCAGCCCATCCTGCCAGGGCCCAAAGCAGCAGCATTTCAGAGCCTCACGGAGTCCGAGGGCACCAACCCAGCCCCACCCCAGCAGAATATCTATGCCCATCCCTGCATTTGCACAACTTCCAGAGTATATAAGACATGGGACATCCAGGTAAGGTTGGGTCCGCCGCCTCCTGGACCTCCCCCTCCCCTGCGATGGGACAGCAGAGGAGCCAAGGTCTACCCGAGGCCCCCGAACCTGGGCCAGGCACTGCTGCATGTTCCTGCCTTCTTCCCGGCAGCATACATGTCAGGACCCGACCCCCAAGGCCCCTCCCAGATCCCCACCCGGGGCCGGCCACACCCGAACCCCGAGCCCCCAGGCCCCCACCCAGACACGCCCAGGGGTTATGCAGCTGCCAGGCAGTGACCCATGGTCGCCGCCAAGACCCCCAAGGGGCCCCACTCACAACCGCCAGTAGTCCACCCCCCGAGGCAACCCAAGCACCTCCAGAGGGGGGCAATGGCCCCCCAGTCCCAGACACCCCCAGTGAACCCACCTCCAGGGAACATACGGATACTCCAAACTCAGACCCCCCCCCCCCCCCCCCCCCACCACCACCACCACCATCCCGCAGGACAACATCAACGGTCCCCCACCCTCGCTAAGTGATGGAACCGATCAAAGGAGCCCAGAGAGATTGATTTGAAGTGGAAGCAGAGGCTAAATCAAGTGTAATATGATCTAACAAAAGATTTCTTTACTGGTTAATGCAGAGAGTTTATTTTTCCAATTCAAGAGGATAGTTTTCTTAGCAATGCATATGGCAGTCGGAACCACGTGAACCAAAGATGTTTCAATCGGGACATCGTCCAGGTTTCCCAGTAAACAAAGAGAGGGGGAAGTTGGGATATGACATTTCAGAGACTTTGACAGGTCTTCACATACTCTACCCCAAAATTCCTGGACAGGTGGACAGGACCACAGTGCATGAATGTAATTGTCAGGAACGTTGTTTGTGCAGTGTGTACAGGTGTCAGAAGACACAAACCCCATCTTGAACATCCGATGACCTGTATAGTGTACTCTGTGTAGAATTTTGTACTGAATTAATTGTAAATTGGAGTGTCTGATCATTTAGTTTTTAAACAAGTTTGGGACCAGAAGTTCTGGTCAAAGCTGACTGATAGATCCACCTCCCGTTTTTCAATAGGGATTGCTATTCTATCGTCTATTTTGGACAGTGTCTTATATACTTTAGACAGTAGTTTGGGGGGTTTTAGATTATAGAGGTTTAATACCCTAGGTGGTGTTTGTAATTCTATTTTATTGAGCTTAAATTTTTGTTTGACTACAGATTTAATTTGGTGGTATTCTAAAAAGCTATTCTTATCTATTCCAAATTGGGAGACTATTCTATTAAATGGGATGAAGTACAATCCTTCATATATGTGTTCCAGGCATAGGATTCCTTTATTTTTCCAGTCCGGAAGGTTCATCATTTTGTTATTTTGCAAAATATCAGGATTATTCCAGATAGGTGTGCATCTGCATGGTACTAGTGAAGACTCTTGTCATTTTAAGATACTCCCACCATGCTGTCAGAGAGGTGCTGATACTAATACTTTTGAAGCCTTCGTGTTTTCTTATGCTTGAGCTAATAAATGGTAAGTCTGAAAGCTCTATCGTATTGCAAAGTGTCTGTTCTATATCTAACCAGGACTCATCTAGTGGGTTATCTTGCAACCATCTTGGTATATATTGCAGCCTGTTGGCTAAGAAATAATAATAAAAGTTGGGTAGATCCAGTCCTCCTCTGTCTTTGGTCTTCTGAAGCGTTTTTAAGCTAATTTGTGGAGGTTTATCCTGCCAAAGGAATTTAGTGATTGAGGAGTCCAGAGATCTAAACCAGTCAGCTGGTGGTTTGTTTGGGATAATTGAAAATAAGTAATTTATTCTGGGTAAGACCATCATTTTAATTGTAGCAACTCTCCCCATGAGTGTTATCGGTAAGGATTTCCATCTTGCAAGATCATCATCCACTTTCTTTAAAAGTGGGATGTAGTTTAGTTTGGTTAGATCTGCTAACTTGGTAGAGACATTAATTCGTATGTGATATTCCCTGACTCCAATTGTGTATTAAGTATCACCCGCATAAAGACTGATCTTATTTTCTATTTTCTTACACTCTATCCCTTTAATATTTGTTGCTTGCCTAATTGCTGCCACTAGTGGTTCGATAAAAATAGCAAACAGTGAGGGGGAGAGTTGGCATCCCTGCCTGGTCCCCCTCTGAAGACAGAAGCTAGCTGATATTTGGTCGTTCGTCCTGACACGTGCTGTTGGTGAACTGTATAATGTTTGTAGCATGTTTATGAAGAAGTTCCCAAACCCAGACTTTTGTAAAGTTGCAAATAAGAACTTCCAGTTAACTCTATCAATAGCCTTTTCTGCATCTAGAGATAATATACTAGTTTCTATGTTTCTACTGTAAGAGAAATCTATCAAATTAAATAATCTACGTGAGTTAGTGGATGACTGTCTACCCTTGATGAAACCAGTTTGGTCTGGGTGTATCATGAAGGGGGTTACCTTCTCTAATCTTTTTGCCAGGGCTTTACAAACATTACATTTTTTAACAAGCAGCTCCTAAATGTATCTGTCCCCATCAGTCCCTGTGCAGTCTCTGGTGATCTGAGCTTTAGCTCTAACAGAGAGGCTCATGGAGCGCTGCGGCGCTCCAGTTTGCCATCTCAGCTGATTTTGTTCAAAAAACAAACCTTATTGCCCGTGTTTACTTTCATTTTCAAGAAATTTGCCAGCCGTAGCTCAGCAATAACTCCCCACGTCATCATGACATCTGCCTCTGTTGCGCCGCAATATTACTACCAAGTGAGGCGGAACGAATGCCGCAAAATTTGCGCAACGCCATTCCAGCATGGCGCGTTTATAGACATACCATTGCGGTAATATTACGCCGATTTGCCGGCATGTTGTGTCTTGTAAAAAGGGCCACAGAGAGGAGAGACAGGCCCAGGCCTGAGTCATGTTATCAACGGGCCTGTGCTGGGTCTCCTCTCAACACTTCTCATAGTAGAGAATTGTGTGACCTATAAGACAAATAAAACATCTGACCCTGGCTTTGTTGCTGTTGTGCTCTATGATGATTTTCTTGTGCGACGTGGATGAAATTCTATAATTTCTCATTTTGTTTTAAATTATTCTAATGATGCTAGAAAATTGTGTTCTGAAAAGGCACCTCTTTTTATTGTCAACGCACTTTTTCCTCAGGTTGCTGATTGGTTCCCCCAGAGCCCGAGCATTAAACAAACAAGCATCCAGAATCACGGGAGGCCTTTATAAATGTGAACTCGACCATTCCAGTGACTGTGAGCGAGTTGAGTTTGATAATGAAGGTGAGAAACCACCTGCTCATCAAGCTACCACTAGCCTGTCAGCCTAAATAACAGTTTGTTTATTTGTTCTTTGTTTGCTTCTTTAAAAGAGGACAAAGCCCATGAGAGTAAAGAGGACCAGTGGATGGGCGTGACAGTGCAGAGTCAGGGTCCTGGAGGAAAGATCTTGGTAAATTATGACTTTTGACTTTTTTTTTTCCTTTTATCAAAAAGGTTGAACACAGTAGCCTTACTGTATTTCATTTCAGACGTGTGCTCATCGCTACCAGAAGCGCATGTGGGTTAACTCTCCATTGGAGGTCCACACCATTCCCGGGCGTTGTTACGTCCTCAGTCAGGACTTGACCATAAACCCATTTTCTGCTGAAGACGGAGGTAACTGGAACCTCTGCGAGGGCAGAGTTGGAGACAAAGATCATGAAAAGTTTGGGGTCTGCCAGCAGGGCCTTGCAGCCACCTTCACCAGGAATTACCACTATTTAATGTTTGGAGCACCGGGAGCATACAACTGGCAAGGTTAATAACAAAAATTCACATTTCCCTATTAGATCAGGTTTTCAACTCTGACCGTGTGTCTCATCTATGTCCAAATCTTTCTGCTTTCATCTCTGGAATCCTGTCCAGGGACTGTGAATGTGGACCAAAAGAATGAAACTTTCCCAGAAATTGGAATATATGTCGATGGCCCGTATGAGGTGGAGGAGATGAAGAATGTCATACCCGCCAACAGCTACCTTGGTGAGTAAACCACCACCAAAACACAAACTGTCTTCTAGTTTACAATTAAGTGAATCTACTTGGGGCTGATGGTATCTTACTTATTGGAAAAGTAGATTTTTTGACTTTCCTGTGTTCTAGTTAACTCAGAAGTCAGAATTAAGATCTGGGAATGATGTTTTTCCTAAAATAATGTTAAGTAAGAAAAACACTGTTATGCTTAATGATGAGGCCAACAATCATTATCAGTGTGATCTAACAGTGTTTTACATAAAAGTGCTTTTTTGGTGAAGACTGGAGACAAGCAACATGATTGTTGAGAAGAAAAAGGCGTACAAGAATGTGGGGGTGACAACACAGGAAGAAAAGGGAGGAAGAAATTGAAGAAAAATAATTAGAGTTCCTGATTAGACTGTAAGCAAAATCACCACACCAGCGTAAAAACATCCTGATTTTTTCCTTCGGACTTAAAGGTCAGATTTACTTATACTTGTAATACATTTGTAGTGGTCTCTAGTAGGAATGAATGCCTTGTAAGTGGTACTCTGGGGATAGAAATCCCAGATGTTCCTGTTTGAGGATGTAGAAGTGTTTCCCCTAGAATATTTTGTAGGTGTGGCACTGGAATTTCAGCCACGGTAAAGCTTATGGAAGGGAAACACTGGTAGCTTCAGACGGCAGGATTTGGAGTTTTATTTCCTGATATATGGACATCTTGCCTCTGAATGGCTAGCAGAAACGCAACTCTACCACTGAATTCTTTAGCTTTGTAACGCTGATGTTTTATCTCCACGAACAACACAAGCCTGAAGGAGTTCTGCTGTGTGGTGGAGTTGCTAATGCTAACGGTTACCTTCTACTATAAGATGTTCCCTGCAGTTTCCTGGATGCTAAACCAACAACAGCCTTTCCCATCATGTGTCAAGATGAGTGAGTCCATGAAAAATAAGTGACAGTGTGACATAGATCTGTCAGGCTTTTACCCAGGGTTCGAATTACAAGGGCGGTAAGGGGAGCCCAGCTCACCCGATAGGGTGATGGGCTCCCCTGGAATCCCTCAATTTACACACCCAGGGGGAGCCTGAAAAAAGATCCTGGTTCTACTTATATTACATTATTTACATGGACTCTCCGAGGATTCATTTGAGCTGTGAGAACAGAGAGCAGCAGAGCGCTGATTGTGCACGACCACTGTAACATTCTCAAAAAAATAGAATTAACACATGATTGTTTGTGTCGGCTAATATCCTCTGGTGCTTTCTGTCTTTTATTTGTGCCTGATGTGTGGAGCATGTCACCTGTCTTGTGCTCCGGTGACTTCACCTCACTGGTGCAGCCGGTGCGCAGCGCATACTCCGCTATTTCTGTGGTCGATAGATCCCTTTGAACAGCTTAGTTCAAAAGTAACTCATGAGGTAAAAATATAGGAAGCCAGGCAGCAGCTTCTCTGCAGGAATGAGAGGAGATGCAGGGAGACCAGAGGCAGACAGGACAGGAAAATAGTCAAATAAAAAACAAGAAAACAAAATAAAGTATTTGAAAGGAAAATGTAGGTAGATTTATCCCACTACACGTTTAAACTTTCTAAAGGAATAATTTATAAGCAGGTGATATTTATACATTTGATACAATTGAGATCACCTTCAAAACTCAGCCCCACACCCAGTGCCGTTTCAAGGCATTTCGGGGGCCAAGGCTCCCCCTCAAACCCTAACCCCAACCCCTCCCCTCACTGGGCTCCCCCAGAAGCCTCTGTGTAATTCATACCCCAGTTTTCCATCTATTTCTATCGGAAGCTAATAAAAGAAATAGATGACTATTTTCTCGTTCAGCCTGTATATTAAACTCAGTGTGACTGATCATTTTCAAAAATAAGGTAAAGCGGTTTCTCAGCAAACCTTCTCCTTTATAAGGTGGTAAACATACAAGACAGAGTACCGAAAACACATTTTTACTGTATCTACAAACTTTCTCCAACTTTAGGATTCTCTCTGGATTCGGGACACAGAATCACGAAAAGTCGTGAGCTGACGGTGGTGGCTGGAGCTCCGAGAGCCAATCACAGTGGGGTGGTATTTCTGTTCAAGAATGAAAAAAAAGAGTCCGGCAGACTCTTGACGGAGCACATATTCCGCGGGACGGGTCTCGCGTCCTCCTTTGGATACGACGTGGCTGTGGTTGATTTAAACAGTGATGGGTACAAGTTTTTCTGTTTTCTTTAAACAAACATTTAAATAAAAATAAATATGCATACACATTTGCAGAGGTGCTGACTCAAATCACATGACTTGGACTCAAGTCATACTTGAGTCATTATTTTAATGACTTCTGACTTGACTTGATAAAATCCATAAAGACTTACGACTTGACTTGGACTTGAATGTCAGTGACTTGCAACTTGAATCGACTTGCATCTGTTGACTTGATGATGACTTTTAGCCTGGCAAGCCAGACTAAATAAATGTATTATTTAGTCTGGCCAGACTAAATAAATGTATTATTTAGTCTGGCAATGCTCCATTGACGGCTCTCGGTTGTGGGACGGGTTCTACCGTTGTCTTTCAAATGATCTCCGCATTCCACTGGACAATGAATGTGACATACTCTTGTTTCACTCTGCTGCATCATCCCACCCACCAGGCATATAGAGTGCACAAAGCGGATAAAGCTCTGTGATTTTTTCCCTAAGCAGATAGAGCACTATGATTGGCCCACTATTATGGACCAATCACAGCTCTTTATGTGTTTGAAACCCCTCTAGAGAGTTGTGATTGGCTTGCCAGAGTCCTGGTAGGAGCTGCGGTGGTTCCAATGGAGCGGGCCTAGACCAAACTTTGCAAAGCAAGAATTTGGTCTAGTTCACTAGGCTAGATGACTTTAGCATATTTGATATTTTAGCACAAAAGTGACACGACATAGACAAATATCATAAGTCATTCTTTGTTCTGGGTTATTTCTGGAATTTATTTATTATCATTGTCATTACATTGAAGTTTGACAGATGACTTGATTATGACTTGACAATTCAAAGTTAAGGACTTGGACTTGACTTGGACTTCCACATCATTGACTTTGGACTCGACTTGGGCATGGTTGTATTTTTTGGACTTGACTCGAGACTTGACTGGAAAGACTTGTGACTTACTTGTGACTTGCAAAGCAGTGACTTGGTCACACCTCTGCACATTTTATACTAAAAGTGGCTTTGGGCCTTCTAAATTTCCAAAAAACCTTCCAATCTATGATCCAGGTGGGAGGACATTGTTGTGGGAGCTCCTCACTTCTATATGAAGGACAAAGACATTGGAGGAGCCGTTTATGTCTACATTAACAAGGCTGGACTCTGGGAAAGTGTCTCTCCTGTCCGTCTAAATGGAAACAAAGACTCCATGTTTGGTCTGGCTGTGAAGAACATCGGAGACATCAATCAAGACTCATATAACGGTACCATGGCTGACTTGGTGTGCACTTTATTCATTTTCTCAGTAGCAGCTATAACATTTTACCTTGTTTAAATCCCAGATATTGCAATTGGAGCTCCACAGGATGATGGTGGGGCTGGAAGAGTCTACATCCATCATGGATCTCAACAGGGAATCAGAACCAGCCCTGCACAGGTTGCTTTATTTAGCTTTTAATAGTTTTATATGGATTTTGTGGCTTGCATAAGTCTTTCCCCGAAGTATATAATTTTATGTCACAATGCATCATATCGTCTTGTGTTGTACGGCGTTGTTTCATTTATCATTGTAATGTGTTATATCATTTTGTATAACAGTACCATATGTATCATATCGCCTCAAATCATATTTGATTGTAGCTCATCGAATTGCATCACACTGCATCGTATTGTATATTGTTTATCATATAACATTATGTTGCAATTTTCCGAAGGATTTCAAAGCAACTTTTGGCATTTTTTAACAGCCAAGTAAATAATTTCCACTGTAGGAGTTCTGGGAAATTTCTGGGAAAGGGTAGAGGTAACAGGAAAAAGACGATGGCTCGGCCCTCTCCATAAAAAATTGTCCCTCTCAGGATAAGACGTCAGCATATCACGACCGTTATTGCAGTGTGTGATGTCACTGAGCAGCGTTAATTACAGCATTGTGGGGGGATTTCCACTGCGTTTTTCCGTATTGGGAGTTCACAAACAGCGATTTTGAAGCAGCATCAACGCTGCTTTTTTTTCTCCATCCATTCTCTGTCACCAGCAACTCTCCAATTTTACAAATGCCAGTTGTTTGGCAACATCTGCTGACATTGTCTCGTACTGAGTTACAACAAATCAGCATGAGTTAAAGGTGTAATATGGAACTATTTAACAAAAAGCTATTTAAAAAAATTCCTCCATGGGGCGTTTAGATGTGTGCAGAATTAATGTAAAGTCTCTCCTTTAAAAGCTTATTTAAAAAAATAAATAATCAAATTTTAATTTTGTCGGGCACAACACTGGGTTAATGTTTACATCTACCAGCAATGGTGCCACTAGAGGGCACCATTGCACTAAAGAGTCCGCTCGGCAAGGCGAGGCTGGGACAGTGTAAAATGGCGGGCTTGACAAGTCAAGTAACTGATTCTGAGCCCAGAAGATGTAAATACTGTTACAAAATAAACATTTTAGTAGAAAGTAGTCCTTACTCTGTACGATTTGTCACTGGATACGGTGCTGGCTGATCACTTAACATGTCAGCAGTGAACCAACATCCTGATGGCTGGAAAATGTTTTCCATTGTTGCAGCTACAATCTCTAAACACTAGATGTCGCCAGAGTGTCAGTGTTCCATATTAAACCTTTAATCACAATTACCACCCAGTAACACTACCGGGCAATTTTCGAGTATCCCAGTTCACGTGGACGGTTGGTCCCTGAAATGGCCTAGAGTGGTCTTGTTGGGTCGGCCCGGTGAAAGGGAGGCACGCCCATCTAGTGAAGGTCCGGTAAAATTACCCGGAAGTTCGGACACTGGAAACAGACCTATCGAACCATAATATTATGCTTCTTCAGCTCAGTTTCAAAGTTGATATAAAAAAAAACTTACAAAGATGCAGATTTACACATTAAGTTCTAGTTTATTTATTTACTTTTTGCTTGTTTATTTTTTTTCATTACAGGTCCTTTCAGGCAAAGAGCACAACATTAGGTTGTTTGGGTATTCTCTGGCGGGGAACATGGACCTGGATGGTAACTTTTATCCAGACCTGGCTGTAGGATCTTTGTCTGATTCAGCTTTTATTTACAGGTCAGTGTGTGCTTAAATGTTTAAATTCTACTGGTTTTTAATAAAATTAATGATTTCCCCCCCCGAAATCCAGGGCACGGCCGGTTATTACCATCACAAGAGATATCAGAGTATCTCCTAACAAAATTGACCTCAGACTTCCAAATTGTGAAAACAGCTTTTGGTAAGTGTTCAGATTTTATTCAGATTATTCAGGTTTCTATATATTTATATATATAAACAACTTATAAAACTGCCCTTTTTAAATTTACAGCCTCATTGTGCACACATGCTTCACCTACGCAGCGAACCCTCTATCTTACAGCCCACGACTAAGTATGCAGGAAAGAAAATAGTATGCAGGAAAGAAAATAGCTTCATAGTGCATAAAAACATTTACCTGCTTATATTCATTTGATTTGATTCCTAATTGCAGCCATCAGTTATTCTATTGAAGCAGATGGAAATCGCAGGAAACAAGGGTTGACTTCCAGAATAAAATTCCTGAATGAAACCCAGCCGGAATCTGACAACATGTTCAACGGCACCATCGACCTCCGGGGCCGAAATCAGCTAAACTGCATCCAAGTAACAGCGAAACTTAAGGTAAGTCAGTTTGGAGCAGTCTGGGGAAAATCCAGGATGGCACCAAAACAGTTAAGATCAAAGTCCTGCAGGACTAAATGATTTTATTCAAATTATTGTAGCTCCTAAAGAAGCCGAGAAGCCTCTCTTGTTCCGATTTTAATAGTCTGTGTTGGAATTGCTCATGCAGGATAACATTAAGGACAAGTTGAGGAGCATTCCCATCGAGGTCTCTGCAGAAATAATTGCTGCTGAACAACAGAAATCAAAAAATGGCCTTCCTTGGGTGATGCCCATTTTAGATGTCTCTCACCCAAGCAAAGACACAGCGGAGGTAAAACATCTGCTTATTATTGTTTGATTTTATGATTTTATTAATCTTTTTTTGCCTGTGTTGCAGGTTAATTTTGTTAAGGAGGGATGCAGGGATAGTAAAGTTTGCCACAGCAAACTGAAGATGGAGTACAGCCTGTTTTACAAACAGAGCAGCCAGGATGTGTTCTTACCGTTAACTAAAAGGTTAAAATCCAATCTAAATATTAAGATATTAAAGTATAACTAACACTACCAAATTCATCTTACTGTAAAACAAGAGGCTGGCTAGATTATTCCTTATTTCTTACTTCCTGAAAGTCAGAAACTGAGAATTGTCAGACGAACTTACTGATTTTATGTGTTTGTTTGCAGTAAAAACAACATCCCAGAGTTTCATCTGAATTATGAGAAGAAAGACTTGGCTCTGCAGGTGATTGTAACCAACACAAACGGTGATGACGCATATGAAGCGAAGCTTGTTGGGAAGTTCCCTGAAACCCTGTCGTATTCCGGTGTTCGCTCCATAACCGTAAGTTTAGGCTGCGTTCTCACAGAAAACAAGACAAAAATGTTCGTTTTTAAACGAATAAGAGGCATGATTATGTAAACTATATGAGCCTGTAAACTTTAGCTTTACACAGATATATTTTAGACAATATGTTATTGACTCAGACTTAAAAAAATGACAGAAACAAAACTTTCTTCACAGGGAAACAAGCAGATCATCTGTGAGTCCAATCAGAATGGTTCTCAGGCAGAGTGTGAGCTGGGAAATCCTTTCAAGAGGAACTCAAAGGTGTTTTATTTTATTATTTTATTTAAACACTTTCCTGTTTTCACTCAGGTTTAACGGATGTTCTTTCTTTTATTTTAGATTGCCTTTTACATCATCCTGAGCACTTTGGGCATAAATCTCAACACCAATGAGTTTGAAATTAACCTGCAGCTCCAGACGTAAGTCATTTGTAGGTTACAAAAAAACACATTTTTAAGTTTGTTGTCTGATTGGTTACATGAAGGTTCTTTAACATTATTTTTCTTAAGGAATGTACGGAAACATAAAGCTGCCACCCACACAAAATAAAATGAGGCCGATATCTCGGTATAACATGATCATTTTATTGCTCTTTAAAGAGACAATGTGTAGTTTTTACCATTAAACTATGGAAATATCCTTTGACATGTTGAAAATGAATTGAATGACACCCAGTTGTTGAAACGTATTGGCAGTTTCATAACATCTAACCACAAAAATCAGTTCTAAAATATGTGGGAACAGGTCTAAGGCAGGAGAAAAGGCTCAAGTTCCTTTTCTGAAAATATGTATTTTCTAATGAAAGTTGTTCATTTTAGGAGGACTAATTGATGCTCTAAAACTTTTAGACAAAGCAGCAACAAATGTAAAAAGATTTCAAATAATTGTTTGTTTGTTTGAAAGTTTTTTAAAAAGTTTATTTCACAGTGATCAGAATCCCGGCATGCGTTGCGATCGATGACGCAATGCTCCCAGTCTCAATTCGGCAATTATTTGTTCACTTGTGTACCACGCACTCAAAGCCTTACTGTGCACTTTCTCCAAGTGCACTTTGCTGAAGACCGCAGGGCGCAGTGCTAGTATTGGGATTGGGCTTCTGTCTATGGGCGACGCCATATCCTTCTATGGTAGCCCATGAGAACAAAATGCATTTACTGACTGGTTACAAAACTTTCACCATTAATAAATGTTGTTTTACACATTTACCTCTCCACTCGTTGCCAGCGATGAAAGGGAGTCTGATGTGATTGTCATTTAGCTGGAGGTTGCACAACCAGGGATTTTTGACCCTAATGGCCATCCGTTGGTAAGGTCTTACTCCAACACAAAAATACTGCTTGTTTGCAATGATTTAGGTATGTACTGCCCCCAGTTGCCAGGGAAATTACACAGTCACTTGTAGGGTTTGCTGAATTGAGTGCTTTAAGAGCTCAATAGATATATTACCTCTGCTTATGACCAATAAGCTGTGACACTCTATCTAAATATAAACTATCACCCTGCCTGGTCTTTATTGTGCTTTAATCAGAAGATTCTAGGATTATTTCTTTGTTAAGGAATTGTACACACTTCGTTTTGATTCAGAAACAGTCAGGTTTATAAAAGTAAGAATTTGTTTTACCAACAATTAAAACATGACAAATTCACTAAGCATTTACTGTGATGGATGGAACTAGATGTGACATATGAACCTACGTGTGGATGCGATGTTAGTCAGAACTTCCGTATCGCTGAGAGCTGCGTTCTGGATGTAAAATAATTTGGTTTGCGTTAAGCTATGAAGTTGATTATTATCAAAAACCACATCAGATGCAATCTCACTGTGTTCCATGTACCCAAGTGGAGACGCCCTTTTCGGATCAGAGATGTCGGGGGTCGGGGGGAGGTTGTTCGGTGACCCCAGGTACCGGAGTCCGTAGATTAACTGCATTACGACCAGGTCAGTGCAGAGACATCTCCAGGTAACGACAGTTGGAACTAGTTTGCGTCTCTGGAATAACTCTTAAGGAATTGGATAAATCAGCTTGTTCTGCTGGAACTGTTTTGTTGTATCAGCTTCGCAGGTTCAAAAAGATTTTGATGATGTGTCAAAAGCTTTGATGGTTAAAGAGGGTTTTGCTTCAGGTGGCTGGTCTGAAGCTTTCTCTAGAACTCCTGAATCACCCAGAGTGATCCAGTTTTAAGGATCTCATGTTATGATTGTGTAGCCAACCAGAGGTTGACAAGTTTGAGGGATATTACCAAGACAACCTCAGAAACACACGCCTTCTTTGGCCGGAGGCTCTGAACTGGGATAAAGGTTATTTATGTGTCATGGGATTTAACTTTACCTTACTTGTTCTTGTGTGTGTGCAAAATGGTTATGACCTTGTCAAGTAAACATGCTAAAACATATTTCATTGAGCAAAGATTAATGAAATATTTCATTATTTTATAATTATTATAAGTAGCAATAAACAAATGTTCATTTAATGATTATTTAACTTTATTAGTTGTGTCTTCTATCTTCTGTGAGCAAAGAGACTTAGATGAGAAGGGTTCTCTGTGAGGAGAGAATGTTTATTGTTATGATTTCGTTATCTATGTCAGAGCTGCAAGCTCTGAGTTCCAGCTGGTGGGATGGAGGCAGGCTGATTTAAAGGGTAACGCATACAGTCTTGTACCTCCTTTATGACCAGATGTTGAATGGTTAAACAGTACCTAAAAACTGACCATTGCTGGACATTACACACTTAAATGTTTACAGTGGGAGTCAAGGCATGGGTGGAGACTTGGGCCCTGTCCACACGTAGCCGGGGATCTGCCAAAACGTAGATATTTTTCTACGTTTTGGCCTGTCATCCACACGAAAACTGAGTTTTTTCACACGAAAACGGATCTTTTTAAAAACTCCGGCCAAAGTGAAGATCTGCGTTTTCTCCGGTTTGGGTGTCTGCGTGTGGACAGACAAAACCGGAGTTTTAAGGTCCGCAACGTCACTTTCCGCGACAAAAAAATGCTGACATCACGTGTGCGACCTGTGTTTACACTAGCCGACAGCATGGATGCCCTCAGAGCTGCGCTCGCTTTATCAATTGTCCAAGCGCTTTTTGCTTGTTTGTTTTTGCAAGCGGAATAACTGCTCCTTGCGGAAGACCACAGACGAAGGACGAGGTTAAGAACGGGGGAAGTACTGCCGCCTACAGGTCTGGCATGTCCTTAACAACGTATTTATCCGGGTACGTGTGGACAGAGTTTCTTTTTTAAACGAGGTGGTGTGGATGCAAGTTTTTGGAGGGGCGGATATTCGTTTTTAAAAAAAAAACGGCTACGTGTGGACTAGGTCTTATTTCAACCAGACTTCCTGTTTGCAAAATACCTGGAAAAAAGGTGTTGCCTGGAGGATTGAGAGAGCAGCACTGAGGCAATGATTGGCAGCACCCCTCTCAACCCCCCCGCGTGCACTCTCTGAGTTTCTCAATTGGAAAACAGAGTCGTTAACAACTCGAGCGTGCACACAAGCACACAGAAATAGCAGACGTGTCCCTCGGGAGAAGAACAGATACAGAAACTGACTGCACGAAGAAGGATTTCCTGTTTACCTTTGTCATTAGCGAAAAGGGGAGGAGGATGTTTTTCTTGAGGGGAGCGGCTCCGAGCTCCAAAGTGTCTGTCAGGGACTGGCACAAACCAGCCAGAGAAGCACTGCTCATGAGACTCAAAACTCCATTTTAGTTTGGAGCAGCTTCAAAGTTAACAGGAACTTTAACCCAATCACAGCACAAGACACTCTATCCAGAAAAACAAAAGACATTTCAGACACACCAGGTTCAACTTTAAAAGTGGCTGATCAGACCACTCTACATACAAGAGGGGAACAATTAATATACAATTAACACACACATCCTCACACACAAACTAACCAGTCTAATCAATTTAGGTAACTCAAATAACTAAATCATAATTACAAACTTCCTATCCATAACAGAAAACATCTACATTAAATTAAACACAAGCATAAACATGAATCTCCCCTCCCTTGGGACTTGGTAGATCCCAGGAGTGCTGATTAGGCTTCCTGAGGAGATGAGCTGCAGGTGTGAGACTCCATGGGAAACTCCAAGTCACTGAGGTGACAGACACTGCTGTCAGGTGGAAGTGCGGCGAGACTCAGCAGGAGTCCAGTGTAGTGCCGCCACGTTGTACTGCACTGACGTCACCCTGCAAGAGCTACAGCAATCAGCTGCGGCTGATTCTGAATCAGTTGTACCCTGAAGATGGAGATATAATTATGGTTTTAGGCTGAAATATTAAATTTAAAGTAAGTGGCACTATACTGCCAAAATAATGACTAAACACGTGTACAGCACTGCTAAGACACTCATCTATACAGGTTATCAGCATGTTACTCACTCTTTACATTTTAACACTAAACATGTGTGTCAGTTTTGTACAATATTATAATTATTTTGTACAAATGTGATAAATATGTGTTGTGTAAGAACATGAAATGTTTGAACAATAAAGCCGTGTTGTAACGCGATGTCACTCTAATTTTATTTTGCGTGGATGGCAGCTCTTGTGGTAGAACTGATACACGCAATCTTTTTATTAATATGGTGAAAAAATTGATATAATATTAGAAATGATAAAACAAAGGGAAAATGTGTTCACTATTAAAGTAATAATAATGTAAGATAATAATATCTAACATTATATCTCAATGTCAATCTTTTATAATTTAATAGTTTTGTTTTTAAGTCAAGACTTAAAGTTAAGGTCAGCTCATGCTTTGATAAAATATGAGAACTAAAATATGCTCTACCAAGCTGATTTGTCAGTAAAATTGTTCTTTTCTGATCTCATACATTTTTATTAATGAGACTGTCACAAAAATAGAAATTAGAAATCTGCATTTCTGTGCTTTAGGACCAGCGACCAAAGCGACCTTTTCCCAGTGAAGGTGAGGAGCAAAGTGATCATTGAAATCCCGTTGTCAGTGAGTGGGTAAGTACAGTGCTGCAGATTTTCTGACCTGTGCATAATATTCATATAACCTAGACGAGCTCACATGACGTGGACATTTCTCACATTTTTTCCAGTGAAGCTAAACCCAACCAGGTTTCCTTTGGAGGTGTTGTGAAAGGAGAGAGTGCAATGAAGACAGAAGAAGAGATTGGGAGTCTGATTCATTTCACTTTCAGGGTGAGCTCAGTCACTTCCTCTCATCGGCTCTAAGTAACATTTCAGGAGTTATAAAATATGACTTTTTGCCTTTAGATTAACAACTTGTGGACGTCTTTGCATCCGTCTGTTCGTGCCTCTCTGCTCATTCATTGGCCGAAATCAAATAAAGATGGAAAGTGGCTTCTCTACCTGGTGAAGGTCACGTCTCGTGGACCTGAGAAGGTCGTCTGCTCCCCTGAATCTGAGATCAACTCTCTGAAGCTCACTCAGGTTGGAGTTTTAAATCATTAACTTTCATATATTTGGCTTTCTGCTGTGTTTGAATAATTAAAAAGGGACTTTTCAGTCTAAGGTGCCCCGGGCAAAACGAGAAACTGTCACAGAAGGAAGCAAATCCGGGGCCAAGTTGTCCTTTCTCACAGGAAGAGATAAAGTTTTGGTGAGTTTTTGGCCTTGTTCGAGTTGAGCAGCGCCTCGCCTGGAAAGCAGACGAGAGCAGACGGACGCAGCAGGGGGAGTGCTACATGTGTAGCTCGCGGGTGACGACGGATCAAGATATCTCGTTAGAGTTCATACTTGTTTAATTATTTATTTTAATTCTGGTGCCTGTTAGCAACCGAAACACATTCTCACGTGCTTGTGGATATCATATATTGTATATGGAGACCTGACTGTAATAGTAAGTAAAGGTTATCGGCTGTAGGTTTAGTGTGCTCATAGGAAACGTGACAAAAGAACACAAACCACATTCCTCTTTATGGCTGATATAGTTGTCATCATCAGCGTTACATGATTTACAGAATACATGCCACCAACTAACATTTTGCATTCAACAACCAGATGTTTGGATCAAAATGTGAACCAATCAGAACTTAGATCAGGTGAGAGCCAGGCGTTTCCCGTCATGCCCTAGGTTTTGCAGCCGGTGGAGAGCAACTACAGCGCCTTGCTCCAAAATCTGCGGCCGCCTTGATCTCACGAGGTTATCGTTGCCTACGTAGGCATGACGTCAGAGCAAATCGGCGTCAAGTTGGACACAAATCTAACCGGCAAGCACTGTGCGCCGATCACCGGTGATCGAATCTGCGCAGAACTGGCTCATCTTGAACACGGCCTTTGTGTTATTCTGAGTTGTAGATGTGGATGTGATGCATTAATGGTTTGTTCTACTTCCTGTTGTAGTCCTGTGAAACTCTGAAAACTGGGTGTGTGGTGCTGGAGTGCCCCCTGCAGGGGCTTGATGGTACAGAGGTTGAGCTGAGCTCTCGCCTGTGGAACTCCACCTTCATAGAGGTAAACTGGGTTTATCGTCTCTGAACCTTGATGCTCGACCTTCTGATCAACCATTAAACGCTTTTATTTTCCTACAGGAGTTTGCTTCTTTCCCGACTGTTCGTTTAGCTGTGAAGGCTTCTCTCAAGCTTCACAACCAAGCTCAGAACGTTATCCTGGGAACTCCCAACACAATTGTTTGTAGTTTATCGTTTAAAATAAAAATAATAACCACTAACAGTCCTGATCGGTATCACCTGGACTCACCTGGCTTCCCTGTTTTGATGTTAAATGCAGGTGAAGGTGGATGTGTCCCCAGACAGCTCAGTAGCTCAGTATGGTGGAGTTCCCTGGTGGATCATACTGGTAGCGGTTCTCGCCGGGATCTCCATTTTGGCTCTGATGGTGTTTCTGTTGTGGAAGGTAAAGAACCCTTGATGGCAGCAAATTATTGTCTTATTGTCTTTACAAACATGGCAACATAAAAGTTGTCCAAAAACTTAAAATCTTAATTTTAATCTAAAGACTTATTGTGAAATTTGGCCAGACTTTTAATTTGAAATTGTTTTAATTCTGTGTAAAATGTCTGATTGTAAAAATAGTTTTATCAAAACAGTTTACTGAAAAATATAATGTTATTTAACAACAAATTAGAAATGGTGCAAATGTTATGTGAATATAGTTTATTAATTAATACTTGTTGTGCTTAAGTTCACCACCAGATGGCAGCGTTCATACAAAGTACAGAGCTTTTAGACGTATGTACATCAGACATGTGCTAGTTTTGTTTTTTTCTTTATTTTCTGTATTTTGGGGGGTTTCATGAATTTAAATTTAGAAAATTAAAGCGTTGGAGTTCCTGAATATTCATTATATCTTGTTGGAAAATGTCAAAGGCAGTCATTTGTTTTGAACCTTTTTAACAAAAAGAAACAAAAACAATTACTCTCATGTAAAACTAGAAGTTATAATAAATCCGTAGCAGATCAAACACTAAAAACAACAAAGATTGGCTTTGACAAAATGCATATTGGTAGATCTAAATGTATGAACTCTTTTTGTAATTATGTTTTCAAACCAAATGTTCAAATATCTGTACGAACCTGCATTGTGGCAACAGTTTTACTTTCAAAATCCTTTGTTTCTAATTAAAAAAACATTTAATAAGATTCTATAATAAACTAAAACAGGACAAAACAGATGGAGATTGTATGAAAAGGGCTCCAGAAGCAAAGTAAATGTATTCCTCTGCTCTCCTTCAGTGTGGTTTCTTCAAGAGAGCGATTAAAGATCAATACAATGCTGCGTATCACAAGGCAGAGGTCCACGTTCAGCCCTCTGACAAAGACAAGCTCTCTGACGAGGCCTGATTTATTCTCTCTGATTTGGGTAAAGTCGGCATGATGTTTGATTGTTGCTGCAGCTGCTAATGAGCTCACCTTTCCAGCCAAGCCTGCTGATTGAATGCTGAAACTTTTCAGCAGACACATGTTGCACAGAGCTGAAGGAGATTTAACCCTCTGGAGGCAGGCGTTGAAGACTTGCAACGTGAAAACCTACCTACCTGGTTACTCCACCTACGTATTTCATGAGCATTTTAAAACTCAGAAGTACGCCTGAAGGACGTAGTTGTTCGTCCTTTTATCAAAACTTATTTTGAGCCTGAGACGGTAAAATTCAGCTTTGGATTTTTTTTGTCATAGAAATTGAGTGATTCAGTCTGTGCAAACTGTGTCTGAGTTTTGGTGCAAAGATTTGATGAAAATTGCATTTTGTGCAACGACTCTTTCCTGCAGATGCTTTTTTTCCCTGTCATCTCTTCTGCTGCTCGGCTGTCTGAAGCACAAAAATCAGCAAAGCATGCTCAACTTTCTGTTTTTATTGTTTACAAAGCGCATCGGTGCTGCTCATTTTCCTAAAGCTGTTTTAATCTGTCCCCCCGTTCAGTGTGGATTCTTCAGGCGCTCCAAAAAGGACGACAGCGTCCCTCGCTACCACGCTGTGAGGATAAAAAAAGAAACTCCTCAGCAAAATGATGGAGAGATCAAACTGGACGCGTTTGATAAGAAGCAGTGGATGACGACGTGGATTGATAATGAAAGTTACTCGTGAACGTTTACACGAGAAACATGTTGTGCCACAAATGCACTGAATTTAAATTTCTGCTTTGCAAAAAAGTGTTCTCTGTGTAAATATGTTTTCCTGGACTTGATTGTGTCAAAACCTTGAATTTATACTCTGTATAGATGTTGTTGTTGTTGTTTTTTTTCAAGTGTTGTACATATTTAAATACCTCTGCACATTTTGTATTTATTTTTGATATGCAAGAACTAGTTCGACCAAAGTTCTGAGTTAGTTTCTGGAGTAGTTTTGTCTTTTTTAAACATAAAACTATGCAGGGAAGGTACAGCTTAAATGCAACATGCATATCAACCAGTAAGTCATTCCTGGTTTTAATACTTTCCCCTTTGAAATGTCGTTTTGGTACAATATTTGGTCTTAATGATTTACAAACCCATAATTTATGTTATTTTTGTTGTGATGTTCATGTAGCACCCACTGGACTGTAGAGCCTCACTGAGGCAACTCTTTTTGTTCCATGTAAGGAATCCAAAGAGAACATGCAGAAATAAAAATTTGCCGAGAAAAAAACGCCTCGAGTGCTTCATTGTTTTAATTGAAGTGTTTACAGAATAATGACCAGAACGCTCCAGCTGTAAGGATTATTCTTGGAATGAATTATTTTCAGATGACATATGTGAAACAGATCATGAAAAAAAAGCTAAACTTTAGATACTTAACATAAATGTCGGTGCAAAGATGGATGCCATCATGCTCTGTCAATCATTAAATTGAAATGGAGTCTAATAAAAAATTAAGTCCCTGTATTTTAACAAAAATTGAGAGAATATAAGGCTACCACAAACTTCATTAGGTTGATTTATAAATTGTAATTGTTTCTAATTAGGTCCCCAGTAGTTCCTTTTGAAATGCAGAGGGGGCGCTGTGGAGCAGCTGCAGAGACCCAGTGGTTGTGGGTCTGACTCTTATTCATATTCATAGTGATTGAGGGCAGAGGAGCAGCAGATCTAGACTTTTGCGTTCTTGTGGACGAGCTGAGATGCTGCAGCAGGAGGAATCGTCTACTTTTCAGGTCCTACTTTTACTTTATGCACCTGCTGACCGTAGCGCTTGGATGTAATCTGGACACCTCTCATGTCATCAGGAAAGACGGGGAGCCGGGCTCTCGGTTTGGGTTTTCTCTCACCCTGCACCAACAAGTCGAACCGGATGAAGTCATGTGAGTGTCCACACGTCTTCACTGCCTTTCAGTCAGACAGTTTTTTCCTCCTAGATTAATTTAAACCTTCATTCAGACGTTAGCTCTAGACATATTTAGATTCATGGACTCTTGCAAAATGTCTACACATTTGCAGATGAAGCAACTTTTTCATGGATCAATTAAACCAAATTCTGCATGTCTGTCTGCTTTCACACACCTGACTCAAATGAGTAAATTGCCTTCAAAGCTAAGTAGCCTGTTAATCACCCACTCGTCTCAATCCAGATGTGTTGGAGCAAAATAATCATCAAAAACATGGAGGATGGTGACCTTTCGCCTATAGTGGATTGTATTTCTGCATTTCAGCCACATCTTGTGATCTGACCTCATTCATTTTTAATAGAAGGTTTTGGGGATGAAATGAAAGAGTTGCTTTTTTTTCACAGCTTATTTCACAAGATTAATGAACAAACCTTGTTCCCAAGCTTCAATAAACATCAAAGCTCAGATAAATTATTTTGTATCTTGAGCATCAAGGAAACTTGCTTCAAATGTTAAAATGTGTGAAATGAACACATTCTAGAAAAACTAAGAGTTTGATTAAAAAAAATGAGGAAGAGTGTGCACGATGGTGCAGTTGGTAGTGCTGTTGCCTCACAGTGAGAAGGTTGTGGTTCATATGTGGTGAGCGACGTTTCTGCGTGGAGTTTGCATGTTCTCCTTATGCATGTGTGGGTTTTATCCCGGTACTCCAGTCCTCTGCTACAGGTCAAATACATGCATTAAAGGGAAACTGGCAGCCCTAAATTGTGTGTGTGTGTGTGTGTGTGTGTGTGTGTGTGTGTGTGTGTGTGTGTGTGTGTGTGTGTGTGTGTGTGTGTGTGTGTGTGTGTGTGTTGGACTGAACGAACTAATGAGACAGGTGTAAAAAATGTTCCAAAAACACCGAGGTTATGATCCTGCAGTGGGAACACGGCACATCTGACCAACCTCTAGCTTTGTTTTGCAGAACTAGCTTTTGTAAAACTTGTTTTTGGTTTGCTTTTTAATTGTTTTTGTGCTTTTTCATACTTTTACTTGTGTGAAAATGTGAAATTTATCCAAAGTGCTGCTTCTCCATATCTTCCTCCAACTGGATTCTAACAGTGTAAGAGAGTGCCGAGTCTGCTACCCCCTTGCTTCATGGGGAAAAATGTGGTTATTGTCAGACTTTTTCCTCAGGTTGCTGATTGGTTCCCCCAGAGCCCGAGCATTAAACAAACAAGCATCCAAAATCACGGGAGGCCTTTATAAATGTGAACTCGACCATTCCAGTGACTGTGAGCGAGTTGAGTTTGATAATGAAGGTGAGAAACCACCTGCTCATCAAGCTACCTCTAGCCTGTCAGCCTAAATAACAGTTTATGTTTATTTGTTCTTTGTTGCTGCTTCTCTAAGAGGACAAAGCCCATGAGAGTAAAGAAGACCAGTGGATGGGCGTGACGGTGCAGAGTCAGGGTTCTGGAGGAAAGATATTGGTTAACTGCAACACTTTTACCTTTTTTATCCCAATTTTATGAATCGTTAGATTTGAAGACAATAGACTTATTTCATTTCAGACGTGTGCTCATTGCTACCAGAAGCACATTCAGGTAAACTCTCCATTGGAGGTCCACACCATTCCTGGGCGCTGTTACATCCTCAACCAGAACTTGACCATAAACCCATTTTGAGCTGAGATTGGAGTTAACTGGAAGCTCTGTGGAATGGAGCACAGCCATGATTTGGGATCCTGCCAGAAGGGCCTTGCAGCCACTTTCACTAAAGACGACCATTAATTAGTGTTTGGATCACCAGGAGCTTACTTCTGGAAAGGTCACTGTCTAATCCAACAGTTTAGCTACATATTTTTATCAGGATGAAAGTTGTTTTACTCGTTCCCTCTAAATCTGCTGCTTTGGTTCTTCAAATCCTCTCCAGGAACCGTCCAACTGGAACACAGGAATGATGACACTTACCTAGACACGGGTATTCATGAAGATGGTCCACATCTGGTTTATGAAAATCTAAATCCTTTACCTGACAGCAGCCACCTTACAGTACATTTACAGTTTATTTTCCTGACATCAGTGTTTTGATCGTAGTTGCGCGTTTCTGTCATTTACTTTTAAGTTCCTAACTGAGTCTATCCACAGTTAATACTGACGTGTTGTTCCTTTGTAACATTAACTGTAAAATAAAAATAAAGTTGCTGCATTTTAAGCCTTAAGACACGTTGAGATTGGATCACAGTATTCATTTATCTATGACTTTCTCGCAGCACTGACTGGAAGCATCAGCGGCCATGACAAGAAAAAGGGACATTTTGTCCTTTTTTACCGCTGTTAGTAAAGAACAGCGTAGACAGAGAGAGGATGAAAGTCATGAGGGAGCTGAGAAGCAGGATGAAGGAGAGAAGGAGGAGTTGGTTGGAGAGGAACCAGAGAGGTCAGAGGCTGTCCACCCTGAGAGTGAGGAGGAGGAAGATGTAGGCTGTGAGGGAGAGAGTGAGGAGAAAATGAGGGACATCTTCTGTCATGTGCACCGTGTACACTACCGTCAGGTTTGTGGGTGTTGAACAACCCCTCTGTGATTGCAGCTCTTATTGTGTGTAAAATACATTTGAAGCATGCTGACTCTGGACCAAAATTTCTGTTGTTTATATTTAATAAATAGATAAAATAAGACTGAATTAACTAATTATGACTTTTATCCTCATGCTAACATTTATTTTCTTTCCGATATCAGCAAGTGTAAGGGTGGCCCACCTACTCAGCATCATTTGAGGACATTTCCAGTGACATTAATAGGAGACAGAAGACGCAGCTTTCAGCCAAGCTGGTATGAAAGTCATCCTTGGGTTAAATATTCTGTTGCTATGGACTCTACTTATTGTCATGCATGCAGACATTTTAGCTCACCAAGTAGTGCAGGAAGTGTGTTTGACTCACCGTGTGGATTTACGGAAAAAAGCAACTGAGGGGGGTGGGTGGGGGGGTTCAGTACATGCAAAGTACTTTTGTTACAGCTTTATATAATGCTGTTCTGTGTGTGTGTGTGTGTGTGTGTGTGTGTGTGTGTGTGTGTGTGTGTGTGTGTGTGTGTGTGTGTGTGTGTGTGTGTGTGTGTGTGTGTGTGTGTGTGTGTGTGTGTGTGTGTGTGTGTGTGTGTGTGTGTGTGTTTTGACTACAAAAAGCACTGCACTAAGAAATTGTATTGTGCACATATTTAATTTGTTTGAATGTTTGTTTTTCATATGTACAGTACATGTAATCTTCAAATAAAGTCACAAACTATAACAATCAACTAGAATTATTTTTTTACTCAAGTCTCATGTTGCGGTGAAGCATTCAGAATTGTTATCTGAGTACCATAAAGACATGCCAGTTTTACTTTCACAAGTAAACCATTACTGCATTCGCTGTAATAGATTACTTGTTCATTGCCTTTTATTATGAATTTATTTGAATCTTATTTTAATAAAATACAGCTGTAAAAGATCATAGATGAAAACAGTAAAGGAAAATTTTTGATAAATTTGATCCCCAAAATATAGTAAAGATAGAAATTAAAAAGAAGAGAACAAAAAAGTGAGTAGTTTCACAGTACTAGGAATTTCCTTTGGTAAAATTGTGCACAAGCACAAAATTAGTCATATGGCAGAGACAAAAAAGAATTTTGATATTGCCCTAATTTTTCCCTTTTTTTTCTTGCGCCCCCATGAAAAAATACTGGCCCCACTGTGGCCCCCCTGGAAAACTTGGTCTAGAACCGCCCCTGATATTGTATGACGAAAGACAATTTTTAATTCCATTGAAACAGTTTAGTGATGAAGTCTTTGTACAGAAACTGTCTGATTTTAATGCATTTCAAACTCTTCAGATGCTTTTGTTTGTTCTGATGCTAAAAAATAAAAAAAGCATAACAAGTGTAAATTCCCTGCAAGACTTAACATTTTTTATTGTTTACAGAGCACGGATAACTGTTTTCATGTTTCCCCATTCGTGGATTCTGCAGACATTACCAGCCTATGATGGAACAATCAATCTCGATGCTTTGGGTGGGAAGCAGCGGATGACAATGAAGCTCTTATTTTTAGCAGATTCTGCAAATTAGGACAAACTGTAGTCCATTTTTATATTTGTGACATGGCTGTTTAATTTCCTGGGAATTTTTTACTGTAGAAATGGTGAATTGTATTTTTTAACATTGTATTAGAATGAAAATCTCAAAGTGTTTTGCAACATACCTGTGAGGTTGGCCAACATGTTCTACTACCTTATCTGGAGCTGTTAAGAAAACCAATGCTTCTGCTTGTCAGTGCGCCCCAGGGCAGCTGTGGCTACATCGTAGCTCATCACCATCAGTGTGTGAATGGATGAATGATACACTGTAGTGTAAAGTGCTTTGGAGTCCTTACTCTGAGAGGTGCTATACAAGTGCGGGTCATTTATCATTTCTTGCACCCGCCTCCTTGTGTTTTTACATCTAATCTAGGGCTCAGGTAGAATTAAGCAGCTTGTAGATCATTACTGAGACAAATTACAGTTAAAGCTCTAAAATGATTAAGTAATTTAGATTATTTCAACTCAAAAAGTCTGGTAGATCTTTCATGTTTCAGATTAGATGTGAGAATTAGAGTCATGACACACCACATCAGGCTGAATGAGATCCACTGCAATTGTTTTATTTAATCACACTACCCAGAACATTTAATATGATCAATTAACTTTATAAAGAACTATTGAGAAAATATTTATCTTAATAAAACCAAAACAGAAAGTGAAATGAGTAAATCCAAACAAAAGAGCATAATGTTTATGCAGAGTTAAACTCATCAACAGATCAGTCAAAGGTTAAACGAAAGCTCTTCTCCTGCTCCTTGCGTTGGGTGTCGCAGAGTTTAGACACTTCTTCCACTCTTCTCTGCAGGAGAACCGAGTTCTGGTCGATCCACTGCAGCGAATCCATGTGGGCGTTGAGAATTTTACAAATCTGCTGGAGCTAAAACAGAGAGAAAGAGATGAATGAAAAAGGCAAACATCATAATGACAGGTTTAAGGATGACTTAGATCTGATCTTACTGGGTCACTGGAGTCAGCTGGGCCGCTGGATGTGTTCAGGTGCTCAATTATCTCCTTCAGGTCCTGAGACATCCTCTTCAGCTGTGCGTCTACGTTCTCAGCGAGCTTGTATGTTCTCTCACGCTCCTCATCGGCATTCTGCATGTAGATGGTTCCGCTCTGCTCCTTCACGGACTCCTCCAGCGGACACAGCAGGTCCTCCAGCTCCTTCTGCTGGGACAGGATGAAGTCCAGCTCCTGGTTCAGCCTCCTCTGGTCCAGCTTCACCTTCTCCAGCTCCTTGTGCAGGGATGTGATCTTCTCTCCGTTCTCCACCAGCATGCGGTCCCAGGCATTCACCTGAGTCGCTTGCTGTAAGAAATGTCTTTCTTGGTCCTCCAGCTCAAGACTCCACTTGTTTATGAGGCTCTCCAGCTGGGCATAGGTCATCACAGGAGGAGCAGTGGTGGTGGTGGTGCCGATTGTTGTGGCTGTTGTGGTTGTGCTTGTGGTGGATGTAGTTTTGAGTCCCAGTATGAAGCCCGTAGCTGTGCCTGTGGTGGCGGCTGCAGTTAGGATGGAGGCCGGAGCAGAGGTGGTGGTTGCTGAACTCAGAGGTTTGAGTGGGAAGGATAAGCCCCCTCCAGCTGCTGTGGTGGTTGCAGTGCTCACCGATGAAAGTGGAGCCGAAATTGGAGCTGCACCAAACATGAATCCTGGAGCTGCTGCTGTAGTGGCGGCGGTGGTGGTTATGGGTGTCGCAAACAGAGTAGGGCCTGGAGTCGGAGCCACCTGGGTGGTTGCTGTAGGGGCTGGGGTTGATGAAGGTTTAATCCCAAAGTTAAAACCTCCACCCTGGGTGGTTGGAGCTGCAGAGGCGGTGGTTGCAGGGGTTCCAAAGCTGAATCCCGCTCCTGTGGCAGCAGTGGGGGCTGCAGCTGAGGTCACCTGGACTTTGGGAGCACCAAAACTGAACCCTCCAATGGACATGCCACTTGCTGCTGTCGTGGCTGTGGGTGCTACCACTGACTGAGGCTGGACTTGTGTGGGAGCACCGAAGGTGAATCCTCCCCCGCTTGGTGCCACTGTTGCTACTGCTGGTGCAGCAGCTGGGGGCTGCGAGGTTAGCAGGCTGCCTAAGGTGAACCCTGACCCGGCAGCCGGAGTTGCTGCAGAGCCCAGACTCAACCCTGTTGCTGCCGGTGTTGTCTGAGGGGTAGCAAGAGCAAACGAGGCAGTAGGCGTGCTAAAAGACAACCCCGTGCCGCCTGCGGAACTCTTGGCTGGGGTGCCAAAGCTGAAAGAGGCGGTGGGGTTGGTCTGGTTGGCATTTCCAAAGGCGAACCCCCCTCCCGGAGCTGCTGAGCTGGTTAATGTAAAACCCGCGTTGGGGGCAGCGGCAGTGGTCTTCTGCGCTCCAAAGGCGAACCCTGCATTCTGTCCGAAGTTGAATCCGCCACTCATTATCCTCACAAGAAGTTAAACACAGCCGTTACGTGTCGTTTAAAACGGCCACTTCCTTGCCGAATCTTGTGGCTTTTGGCGGGTCGCTATGACCAACTCCTCCGACTGAAGTTCCTAAAATCCCCACTGCGTCTATTTAAGTAACTTTGCACAGATACGCAGGAAATGAATGAAATCACACGCTAATCAACGTTACCTTCCGAGGAATATAGAGCCAAAATCAATAACACATTGCTAAAAACGTGGGCCTGTGAACCGACATTTCCTTTAACAGGCAATTATCTGGCCACCTAAAGGAAGTGACGACACCCGAGACGCGGCATTCTCGTATGCCCTGAATTTTGTCTGCAGGGACATAATTCCGCCTATTAATTTATTTGGCAACTGTTTTATCCAATCAGAGTTATGATTAGATTTGAGGTACATGATAGGCTCATTTGACTGCCTGATAGACAAACATTCGGAAAAATATATAGTTTGGCCTTTACAAAGAGTATGCAAAGGCAAGATAGTTACAGAATAACGAGCACTATCAACTCTTCTTCTTTCATACACACGTGAATAAAAGACATTATTTAGGACATTATCGTGCATTTATACGTCTTTATTTTCGCAATTTACCGTCAATATTGACAATAATTTTAAATACAGCCTTTCAACAGAACTTCGTGTCGGTATACGCCAGGCAACAACGATGAATCCTCTTGAACTTTGTAGTAACTCTTTGAATTAGCTTGTTGACTTTTCTGCTTCGGTGGATTTAGCAGCGATCACTTGAAGTACACACCGGACGATACACAAACATTGCAGCGCGGCCGTAGTTATGGATGCTGAACCTGCATCAATTAGCAACGTAACTGAACAATAATAAATTTAACAGCGTGTTTGCGAGCTGCTGGGTTTGCTCAACGAGCTAGTGTCGTTAAATAACACTAAGTGTGGCTCGGAAGCCACCTGCTTCCTCCGAATAACTAGTAAACCCGGTCAACATGAGGCTTCTGAGGTTTCTGAGGAACAGCGTGTCAGTAGGGAAGGATATCGATTATTACTCCAGATTTTCTCCTTCCCCTCTTTCAATGAAGCAGTTTCTGGATTTTGGTGAGATGTATTCATATAACACTCTAGGGATGTAAAAATAATTCAATGCACTGAAATATCACAACATTTCGGTTTATGATACAGAATCGATATTTAAAAGCAGAGTATCTATTATTGAGAATTTACATGCCAACATTTCTTGTATTTCTTTTGTGTGGTGCAGATCAAACACTGACAGCTAGGTGGCAGCAGTTTCTTCCTCCTTCAGTCTGACAGACCGATATCTTGCGAAAACACTGGAATTGTCTGAGTTTTCCCAGTTAAATTCACTTAAAAATTGCAAAAATAGTCAGCCTTTTAGTATCTCAATATATCGTATCGTCTCTCCTGTATAGCAACATATTATATTGCTAGATACTTGCCAATTAACACCCAGTTTTATCTCAAACTCTTCGGTGTTTCTTGATGTCTTGGTCCTGCCCCGGTTGCCTAGGAGATACGTAATCAGGTACCGCCAAGGCGTGTTCCAATCATCATGTGCTACCGAGGTGTCTGTTCTTCGTTTGTTAGCTGTTTAGCTAGCTAAGCAAGAATACACGGGAGGTGCCTTCTTTACTGGTGGTTCCCAGAATATCTAAAATTAGGATAGGAGGCAGATCTTTTAGTTATCAGGCTCCTCTCCTGTGGAACCAGCTCCCAGCTTTAGTCCGTGAGGCAGACACCTTGTCTACTTTTAAGACTAGGCTTAAAACATTTTTATTTGATAGGGCCTATGGTTAAAATCTGATGTTAGCCTACATCTGGACAAGTGGGGGAGTAGAGGTAGGTGGAGTGTACAGTCGGTAAAGACGGCTCTCCCTTGCCCTGCCTCCAACATGCCTCCATCTAAAAAGGCTAGGTTATCCTGAGTTATCTCTGTAGTTATGCTGCTATAGGCTTAGACTGGTGGAGGATACACTGACCACTTTTCACACTCTACTACTTTCTTCTACAATCTGCTCTTTAACTGTATTATTTTCTGCAATTTCAGCTATTAACTTTAATTTTTCTCTAAGTGTTTTTCTCCCCAGAAGAAGCTACAATGATGTTCTGCTGAGCTGTGGTGGCCTCATGGATGGGGCCATCGTCTAGCACACTGCTGCTAACCACTAAAACATTCTCCCTCTCCTGATAATAACTTTTTGCTTTCCTTGACGTTGGATGTGCTACTGCTAGTTTACCCATTTAATTATAGATTCACTAGGATAAGTACAATAACGTTTATCTTTCACCAAATAGAATATTTACTAAGAAATCACAATGCAACCATGCTTGGTGTGTGTGTGTGTGTGTGTGTGTGTGTGTTCTGTCTTCTTGATCCCCAGTGAGTCGTGGTGGATGGCTGCTTATACTGAGCCAGGATCCTCTGGAGGTTTCTTCCTGTTAAAAGGGAGTTTTCCTCTCCACTGTCACTATATGCTTGCTTAGTATGAGGATTGCTAACTTGATGCAATTTGCTGGTTTCCTTATATAGGAAACATTTTTTCTGATTGGATGAACTGACCTGGATTGGAATGTTTATTATGTGAAGTGCCTTGAGATTTGGCGCTATATAAATAAAATTGAATAGCCTAGCCTTGGTCAAAAAATTCCCAGAATGCAGCGTGTTATTTTCAAAAGGATGGCGGCTCAGTAGCCAGCATCTACTTTGGGGGCAAATTTCCAGTATACATGTCACGTGAAGTAAGTGTTCCATTTGACTGTTTTCTTTGATCTAGGACGCCTGGCCTCGTAAGACATCGCCATGCGAGGCCCGGCACATTGACATTGAGAAACATCCCTTATTCTATCAGAATAAAGGCAGTATAAACTTCTGCCTTCCACCTAGCAGTCAGTTTGAATTGCACCACACTAAAATATATATTAAATGTTTGCATACAGCTTTTACATGTCAATTAAGGGTCATGACACAAAATATCGCGATATTTCACATTATCGATACTTTCTTACATTCCTACTCGGTTAACATCATTAGCATGGTACCTTTTGTTGGAAAACTTCATAATTAGGACATCAATAGACCCTAACCCAGGATGATCAGATCTCTGGTGTAATTAGATATGTGTTGTCATAGGGCTGGGTGATAAATAAAAATGTATCTTATTGAAATTTCTGACTAACCAATATGAATTTTATTTTTCCATGGCAATAAATTCGATAATCAAAAAAGATGTTTGGCGAGGTTCATGTCCCTTTAAGAAGCTGGACCACATGACAACGTGACTCAAGAAATGAATGTGACAGCCCCATCTAGTGGACAACTTTTGTTTCTGCACATTCATGTAGTTATTGTCCATTCATTGTTATAAAGAATAATTCCTCAATGTATTGTAATAGTGATTTTAGGCCATATCGCCCAGCCCTATGTTGTCAGTAAATTCATCTTTGCTATTATACAGCTATATTAAGTAGTTGGACCCCCTGCTGTGATGCTGAGCAGGTTTTCCTTCTGGGTCACTGAGATCTTAAGTTGGTTATTTACCCATCCAGGCTCACATAACAAGGTGTAATTAGAAGTGAAATCCAAATTGCTGTCTTGTGTTTCTTTTTCCATTCAGGCTCAGAAAACGCATGTGAGAAAACATCCTTTGCCTTCCTCCGACAGGAGTTACCTGTGAGGCTGGCCAACATCATGAAGGAGATCAATTTGCTGCCCGACAACTTGCTGAGGACGCCGTCTGTGGGTCTGGTCCAGAGCTGGTATGCTGAATCTGCTTTTATCTCAGCAAAGGTTTAAAACAGGCACCCCTGACTCACTACTCCTGTGTAGGTACATGCAAAGTTTTCAGGAGATTCTTGAGTTCAAAGACAAAAACGCAGACGATGAGAAAGTCACATGCGAGTGAGTTGTGTTAACTTTGTAGAATTACTCTTAAATCATTGCAAGTTATTTTCCAACATTTCACTAACTTATTTAATTTTGATCAGTTTCACAGATGCTGTGATAAAAGTCAGAAATCGCCACAACGACGTGATCCCCACCATGGCTCAGGGGGTCGTGGAATACAAAGAGACGTACGGCACAGACCCGGTGGTCAGCCAGAACGTTCAGTACTTCCTGGATCGTTTCTACATGAGCAGGATATCCATCAGGATGCTGCTCAACCAGCACAGTGAGAACGTTTGTTCATTTTTGTGACATCAGATCAATGTTTCCTGAATGTCTGCAGCCTTAAAAACAAACACCCGAATGTTTAAACCTGGAACAACTTGTAGCTTTTCTGCCCCGACGTGAGAATTGTTGCATTTGCTTCCACTTTACGACGACTAAAACGTTTAGCCCTTCCCTCTTCTCTGATCAATATTTTACGTGTAGATATGAATCTGTCATGAGCCCGTAACTGTTTTCCTAATAAATAATCAGCATGTTAATCAAATAACTAGAAATAGAGTAGATGAACTAGTAGGGCAGGTGCCACATGGAGAGGGAATGGCACAGCTGGTCAGGTTTCAGCTTGTTAAAATCTAGGGAGATTTATTTAGTCTGTGAGTAAAATCCACCCAGAGAACCCTCAGAGGAAACCAAAAAGTTGACGTGAATCAGTATAAATCAGCATTTCATTATGGAGTCTTAAAGCGATGCAAAACAAGGTCTAAATGTGCTTTTTTTCATGTATCAATCTAAGCTTTTTGAACAAAAATTGACATAAAATATAGTTTTAATACTATTAAGTATATTATTTTAATTCCAAATGACTCCTCACATTCTTATTTGCAGCTCTACTGTTTGGTGGGAAGGTCGAAGTGAATCCTGCACACCCCAAGCAGATCGGCAGCATCGACCCACATTGTTGCGTCAGCGAGGTCATCAAAGGTAAGATTACTATTATTATTATTAATAAAAAAGTCTTTAACATGAATAAAACCAAACCACTTCCTCTAGATGCCTACGAGAATGCCAGGAACCTTTGTGATCGTTACTACATGAATTCCCCGGAGCTGATACTGGAGGAATTTAATGGTAATTTCCACGTTTGAGTGATTTATCTTTCATTCTTTGTTGATTGATAATTAATAGTCCTCTTTTTGTTTTTTTTTCTCTAGCCAAAGAGGAGGGGAAGCCCGTCACTGTAGTTTACGTTCCGTCTCATTTGTACCACATGGTGTTTGAACTTTTTAAGGTGAGCTTTGCTTTTTTAAAAACTCCTCTTGCAGAGTTCCTGCAAGTGTCCTTTCAATGAAACGTTTTGTTGCAGAATGCCATGCGGGCCACCATGGAGACGCACGGTGATGCATTGGATTGTCCTCCCGTTCATGCACAGATCGCTCTGGGAAGCGAGGATTTGACAGTGAAGGTGAAACTAGATTGGACTCCCACCCTGTGAATGTTTGGATGTGAAATTGTGTTTGCGTGTTATAAAATTGTTCTATTTTTGCCGATTTTGTTAGGTGTGTGATCGTGGCGGTGGTGTACCGCTTCGTAAGATCGACAGGCTGTTCACCTACACGTACTCCACGGCTCCCCGGCCCAGCACAGACGGGTCTCGGGCTGCTCCTCTGGTCAGTTTGCCGGCCTCTTTTTTTTAAGAACTGCAGATCCAAGCCCGTTTCCCACCAAGGGTGGGATGGATGCGGTCTGGTTACCGAACAGACTCACTGCCATTCACACCGACTGCGGTTCCTGTAGAAATTTGACACGTTACATTCAAAAATATTCCTGTAAAAATGTGAACTATTGTTAACTGGTGTCATCGTCATAAAACTGAAGCTGGCAAAAATAATGCAACACGGGTTTTATTTTAAATGAAAACTGATGCACATTCGTTAAACATGTCAGTTTTTGTCTGGCTTATGTTTTTAACTTTGTGACAATTTGCATGCGGTGTCTGAAACAATTAGAATCCATGCGGAAACCTACGGATCTGAACCCACCTCAGCCGGTGTGCATGCTCTGATTGGACTGCGATCCGGAGCTGCAGAATCGTCCTGAAAGGTTTCCATTTGTTTTTTGGGACGCTGCTTGCGGATCGTCAAGAAGTTGAAATTACATGAAACGTACAGAAAGTGAGATGTATGGCAGCAAGGTGCATCTGGTTTATTTAAAAATAAAACCATTGTTGCAACTGTCTGTCGGCTTGTGTAATTAATGCCCTTGATATCAGTTTGAGAAGACGGCTGTGGCTTTTGTTTACCAGCTCCTCTCTACACAATAGCTGAGTGAGGTTGCCCCCCCAAAATCTAACAAAATTGGTGTCAAACATTTGTGCTGCATTTTTGATGCTGCAACATTGTTTGTGCTACTTTCATTTTAGATATTAGTAAAGGTTTTCAAAGGTCCCCCCCCCCCCCCCCTATTAAGCAAATCAATCAAAAATTTTTTAGTGAACAGAGCAGGCGATAAATATTCCTAAGATGAAAGTAAGCTGACCGAGTGACTGAACTGATATGTGACCTGAAGGACAGGGAAAAGTGGTCACGTAGACTACATTAGCAATTGTATTCACCTTTAACCCCTCCATTGGCATCAAATCAGCACAGCTTGGGTGCAGGGGGTTGACCTAGGATAACCTTTGGAAACTTTTATTTATCTTTTCAATGAAAGCAGTGCAAAAATATTTGCAGCACAAATGTTTGACACAAAATTTGAACAAGGTGTGTGTGTGTGTGTGTGGGGGGGGCAACTTTACTCAGGTTAGTTGTTCTCGTGTGAACTCGCAAGCAACTTCCCAGTCGGTGTAAATGGTAGTCCATCCGGAAGCTGTACGGATTTCAGTCTGCACGTGGTGTGAGGCTTCAGTGAGATAATTATTTTGTTTGGGTGTTCATCTTTGGTCCAGTTTTCCTATTTGGTCAAAAAACATAAAAACTACCCCTAAAAATGGAGGGAAAACATCTGTTCAGTAAACTAAATGTAGCTGAGCCAACCTACACCAGGACTGACTATAAGATTCTGCTGAATCATGGTTTGTGTTTTCCCAGGCTGGTTATGGACACGGCCTGCCCATCTCTAGGCTGTATGCTCGTTACTTTCAGGGGGATCTGAAGCTATACTCTCTGGAGGGTTATGGAACTGATGCTGTGATCTACATACGGGTAACAGAGTTTCACCATGTTAGAAGTTCCTTGTAGGATGAAAACTTAACTTTTTTCTTTTGCTTATTTCAGGCACTGTCCACAGAATCTATCGAGCGACTCCCCGTGTACAACAAGTCTGCCTGGAAGCACTACAAGACCATCCACGAGGCCGATGACTGGTGCGTCCCGAGCAAAGAGCCCAAGGACATGACCACGTTTCGTAGTTTTTAAAGCCTAAAGGCTTCTTGACGAGGCGTTTAGGGAACCTTCTCGTTAAGGAATGAGTATTTAACTGGTGTTTTAAAAAAAGATCACAGAACAAACTTAGTGCCATATGTTGTATTAGTTTTCAACTAATCATTAAGAAAACAACCACCGTGAGCTGCTGAACAACCAATATTAGTTTAAATTTGTCCAGGCTGAACAAACTGGGTGTAATGAGAAAAGGCTAAATTCTGGTAGTTCAGGACCATTTGCACAACTGTACATCTTTAAGGTGTTACAAGATCCTAGTTTATGTTACAAGTGTGCAACTTTTATTCTAAGTTTCTTTTCTGCTTCGTTATTTTGAAAAGCAAAAGGAAAAATTTAAAACGTTGCTTGATGTGGTCAAAAACTATATTATAGTTACGTGGTCGTATTTTTATTTTTTTTTACAAAAGCAACTGGATAACTAGAAGGAACAAAAATCCAGACTGTCATGTTACATCCTTGACTTTTCCGAGCTTTTCTTCCTAATGTAATGCTAACTGGTCCCAGTGTGGTGGCATTAGGACTGAACAAGTCTTAGTTTGTTGTTGCACTGTAAGCACTTAACTCAGTAGATCTATTTAGATTGTTCTAATATTTGGATTTTTGGGGTAAAAAAAACTATGCAAGTGGAATAGAGGTTTCCAAAAGGAAATGCTTGAATAAAATATATCAAATGTTTCATTTTCTTTCTGCATCTGATAAATCTGTGCAAAAAATTGCACCTGTTGTATGAAGTTGGGGGAAAAAAGCCACAAGTGAAAATGAGATTTATTTTTTTTACACTGTGTACCAAGAATCACTTCTGATTTTAAGAGTTTTCTTGCGGTCCAACATTTCATATTCTGTTCAGACGATGTAGCCATTCCGAGGAAGAGTGTGAGTTGAGTTTTCACTGCTGGGCCTCAGCAGCTCCAGACTCAAACGAGTCCTCGTGATTGGCTCATCCTTCTGCCGTAAAGTCCCGTGATGCGTCAACGCCGTGCATCGTGGTTCCACCTCCGTGATGGAGTCTGGGTCGGACGCAGCAGCTCACCTCATCCCTACCAGCCACACTATTCTACTTAGTAGAAAATTTAGATATAAAACAATAGATTTTAAGTAAACAAACAAGAAAATGCAGTTAACAGGCACATGTATAAAACTCATTTATACATTTAAAACTTTGTGGCCCCTCAAAAATTAAAAGACAAATAGTGCTTGTGTCTGTACAACAACTGTTCCTGCCAATAATTTCTGCAAACGTCTAAAAAAGAGCTGTATACGTTTTACTTCTATGTATGATCTGCAAAAAAACAATTTTACATTTTGAATACATGTTTTTCATCAAAGCTTGTAGCTTTTCAGTGGTAAAAATGTTCGAACATCCATTTTGGTCACAAACCAAGTTTGACATTCTCCATCGTTTAGTTAAAAAGTGGAAGGTGACGTTGATGCAGGTGAGAGCAAAAGTTTAAACTCAGACATTAACGGATGAACATAAATCATAACTAGCTGCTCCCTCAGTCAGCAGAAGGAGACGTCGGTCACTGATAGGATATGTTTGTTTACATTGCAACCAACTGGAAGGATGACAAAAAGCTGCACAGGGAAAAAACTTCACACAGGAAGTCCTGACAAATTAATACAAATAAAGATGTTTGATTCAGCAACCTCAGCAGACCGAGTCGTTAGAGAGCGGCAGCTTGGCGCTGCGTCGCCCTTCCTTCTCTCGTTTCTCTCTTTGTTTCTCCAGCTTCTCTTGAGCCTTACGCATGTCCTTCAGCTTCTTCTTGATAGTGGAACGATCGCTTTGACTCAAAACACCAAGTGTCTGGAGGGGAGAACGTGTAACGATTTACCCATACTTGTTCTGTCATTAATGTCTCTAAAAAAATGCTTTTCACACACAAGTCCACAAGGGGGCAGTAACTCCCTGGTCAGGACTGACTTCTCTAAAATCAGAGCTGTCTGCTGCCTTCATCATTCTAATGACATCATCACTGTTTAAACATGCATTTGTTTCACCTTCAGCTTGTCGCTGTCCAAGTTCAGGAGCTGCTGGCCGTCGATTCCTTTAGCTGTGAACTCTGGTGTGTACTGGTCCATGTTCATGCCCATCAACCAGTGACAGACCTGCTGATTGGTCCACTCAGAAACTGGCCGGTTCTGCCACTGATACTCTTTTCCTGCAGCCACTGGCTCATCATCCAACGTCTGCACAGAAAACAAACATTACAGATAAGATACTGAAATTACAGCGGCTTTATTTTGAAATAATGATTTTAATCAAACTTTTCCTTAATTATTAAACGTTGAGCAGCGTTGGACTCCTACTGGTTTGTGTGTAAAAGGAAAACAAAAAATATAGTCCTATAACATCTGTAGATGCTTTCAATTAAGAGAACAGCCACATATGGTGTGGGAAAGAGCTGATTATTGTTTAACAATGTAGAAATAAATGACGAGTGTTGTAATACAGACTTTAAATACATATATCAAACAGCAAATATGTCCTTTTAACTGCCTGAATCGACAAAAAAGAAGGAAAAGCTGCAACAGAGTATAAAAGATCCAGCCGATGAACATTTCCCAAGCTAGCACACAACACAAGCGTGCAGCAGCAGAAAAATACCAATAAAACTGTGATGCATGACTTCACCCCTTCAGATATGGAAACTAACTCAAAAACAGATACACCCCTCCGCAGACAGTTAAAACATTTTGCACGGATACAATCAGCTGCTTTAGCCACAACAAACACAGGCAGACATGCAGCGCTCCTATTCTCTGTCCATTCATGGTTTAATCTGCACTATGAAAGGGGGGTGGGCTCAGAGAGCATGCTTGAGAATGTCCCCTTTCAGCTGCATCAAGGCGTCCCACACAGCTTTTGTGACTGCGCAACAAGAAGAGCACTCACCTCGCTGGAAGAGAAGATTAAAGTGTGAGAGCGCCCAGACAGATTGGGTTCAGCGACTAACCCAGAGATGTCTGAACTGGGACTGGCAGCGTTAGAATCATCTATGACTGAAAAACTCTGGAACAAGTGGAAAGAAGGAACGCATTTACAACAAAATATCACCAGAACAGGAGGTTTTTGTTTTTTTAAGCACTATGAAAACAGGAAACAGACGGATGAAGAGTGGTGTTTTTACGACTAAAAATATGTTGAAATTAAACTGTTTACTTGATTATGTAGAAAAGACTGACTGGAAATGATCAGCATCTACTGAGCGGCACAATCTTCAAATTAGATCAAAATAAAGGAATCCACCACCAAAACTACAGCAGCTAATGTCGCTCTGGCTAATTAAATCAAGCAAAACAGGAAACATTTCAGGTATGGGTAATGTTTACACTTGAGAGGGTGCAACACCATTCATGTGATTAGTTCAGGGATTTTATGTTATGTATGAACATTTAGATTTTAAATAGTGGGGTTTGTAAATTTGATGCATATTTGTGTGCATTTACACAAAATGCATCACGTTTTACACACACCACGCTGGTTAGAATCAAATCCATGCAAAGTTCTGAACTGATTTTCCAATTAGCAATCGCAGCATGTCATGAAAACTGCTCGTGGCTTCATCCATTTCATTTAACGCATGCCTGGAAGCTTTCTTAATGATAATAAAAAGAAAGAAATGGGCACAATTTGCTGCTGAAACTTTACCACATACCCACTACAAAAGAAACAGTAATTTATTCAAAAGGGTGCGACGAAAGTGAGAAGTTAACCGAGTTAGTTGGTAATAAACTACTGTTATTTAGGAATCAAAGGTGTAACAAAAAACAAGCATACTGTACCAAATCTAATGAGCGACTGAATAAAGAAGACCAGGAGAGATTTGTCTGTTTAATGGGAAAAATGGGCGACAGATTTACCAGAAAGCATAAAATAATCACACATCAGCAGCACGTCTCAGTAACCTGCTGTCAGCGTTTTCGTTCATGTCTTGAACTCATTAAACTGTATTTTGGGAACAGCAGCCCACCTAATCCTGCACGACAGCCAGGCTTCCTGCTGGGTGCATTTGCTGCATCACTTGCCACAACATTCGCGTATGGATACAGAACCACAGACACATTCTTATTAGGCTACTCTCTCATTCTAGTCAGAAAATCGGACGAATTTCCTCCAAATGTTAATGCAGAAACTATCTTTTTATTCTTCCAGTACAGATCTGAGAAAGTGCAAGTTTGGCTCTTTGATTCACACTCTGATGATAACAGAACACACTTCATAATAAATTATGGTTTACATAGACATCAAACCCTCACGTATACACTGAATCGATCATCAGAGATGATGACATTTGCTGTGGAGGATGCTTCGTTTAGTAGCTTGCAGCACATTTCAGAAAATACATGAGAGCGAGTGGATGAGGAGAAACTTGAGACAAAACAACAAATAAAATCAGAGGTTTTGTTTGTGCAATCTAGAGTTTTTTTTTAATCAAAACTGTTGTCATTTGTGGTCCTCTTAGTGAGGAGGACTCAGCCAGCTCACCCACACACAAACATCCACTAGAACATGTGAAGACATGGAGGAAAATGTCTACTTCTATTGTTCTTGTGGGAAATAAGCAGAAAGCTTCATACCTTATTTTTGCGATCCTGGCTTTGCTCGCTGCTGGTCTCGTTTGCAGTATATGGTAGGCTGCTGCTGCTGGAGGACGGCTCCCTGTCTTTGTCTCCAAACCAGGAGAACGGCATACAGGTAGGGATGGAGGTCATTGACTCTGCCGGAGACAGGTTTCCTCCAGATTCTTCTAGCAACTCTGAAGACCCCCTGGCCATTGGAGTATTTGATTAGCAGGCCAAAGCCATAAATAAAAGCCTCATTAGTGACAGTTTTCCATAACAAAGTCCTTTCAAATAAATCTGTAAATATTAAAAATTATTCTATTTCACCAGCATGTTTCTAAATGACATCTGAACTCGTACCTGCTGCCCAAAGATGCTCTCGTTGCCTCTTTGTCGTGCTTTTTTCCTTTACCGCCTGACTTTCGGAGGCCGCTGTTTTAATCGAGATATTTTATTTACAGAAAATAAAAAAAACTTTTTGCAACAAGTGACCAACTTGCTTACCCAAAGTCTGGAAATCGTCTTTTAGGCTTCGCAGCAGGAGAAACCTCACTTAGCTCCTCTGTAAAAGAAGCAGCAATTAAAAGTTTTATACAAATAAAAAGTTGACATATTCCAGGATCTACTTTTGCGCCTCACTTACCTTTGAGCTCTTTCCCCTTGGCTTTTGGCTCCTTCTTCTTTACATTATGCATGAAACCAGAGGGAGACTGTGGGGAGGAAGAGTGTTTTGGAGGAGAAAAATGAGGACTTCCACAACTTTCAGCACTGTCCCCTTGTGAAGGTGACAAAGACGGGCTGCTGGAAAGCTCAGATTTAGTTTTGGAAGCATCTCTACTCTCGAGCGGATCGTCTGGCTGTTCGTTTCCGGGATAGCAGACAGGAATGGGCAGGGCCAAACTCTCCTGGATAGACCTCCGCTTCCTGGTAGACTCCTGCTGCTCCTGCTCGTCCTCATCTTCAGTTTCCTGTAGGGACCAAGACGATTATTCACACAAACAATGCGAGGAAGAGGGGATAAAAGCTGTTTATGTAACAAAAGTTTCTGCATGATGGCTTTTAGGAATTATGACACGTGTCTCCAGAGTAAAATAGCTGCTCAAACTAGCTTTAGTTATAGATTTTTTTGGTACAGTAAGCAAATGAGATTAAATATATGTGTCCAGACAAACCTGAGAGTGACTAGAATGAGCAGCAAAGTTCTCCTTTAGCTTGTTCCTGGATGGCTGACGTTTGGACTTCTGAGCCAACAGACATTTTGCTTTCTGAGCACTCGTGTCCAACCGCACAGTTTCTGGAACCGCCTCATTCCAGTCTTGCTCTACGAGCAGAGATGTACAAACATGAACACACGCTGCTTTAGAGGCAAGCTGTTGAAACGGGTTCAGCCCACCGTACCTATCAGGGAGTCAACGGAGTGTGTGTTGGTGAGAGAGTCTCGGCTGCTTTCAGCGGCTGAATCCTGACCGCTCTGATATTCTGGGGCTGAGGCACCTCTGGACTCCAGGACAGCAATCTAGGGACAAAAACAGACTCAGGCTGATCTCAGTGGTTCCAGCTGCTTTAATCTTCTGCCGGGAAATCTCACCCTCGTCTGTAAACTCTCCAGCTGCTCCTTACACCATTTCTCCTTTTCATCTAGAAGCTTTTTTAGTTCTTCCTCCTTCTTTACAAAATCTATTTCTCTGAGGAGGAAAGAAGAAAACAAACCCATCATGTTTTTGGTGATGATCAAGTGTCCTTAAAACTAAAAATACCTGAAGTGTTTAAAAATTTAGACAAACTTCTTAGAATGATAATCAAGAACAACCCTGATATCAAGCAGATTCTTCTGTTCATCATTCTTAAAATTAAGAATGTTTATTATCTCCTTCCTGCTTAAATTAGCTAAAATTTACATAAAACACAAACCAGTCCTCTGTGACCGGAGACAAACGTACTTTTGTTGGTGGTCCTTGATCAGCTTCTTGGCCTTGTTGTACTTTTTGTCCAGCGCTTCGTACTGAGCCTGAGTCTCTGCTAACTGCTCATTCACAGTCTTACACACAGTCTGGGCTTCCAGCCAGTAATTCTCCAGCTTCAGGATTTTCTCGTTGCTATCCTCTATTTTCTGCTCCAGTGCAGATTCCCTAACATCCCAGGATGATTTGTCCTCCTCAGATTTCCTCAGCTGCACAGAAAAAGGGACATTTTAGTTTGAACAGGTTTAGCTGTTGGGGGTCCTCACACCGTGCAGCATGACTAACTTTTTTGTTGACTGTTTAATTTCCTCCTACCTTTTCCTTTAGCTTATTTATCTCAGCTACAGCTACTCCATGCTTGAGCTGCAGCTATGAGAAAAATTAAACATCTTACATCTGCAAAAGTAATTATTTAAACCAAACCAGTGAGTGTGTTTGTGGAGGTGGGTACCTCTTTGAACTTGAAGACCATCTGAGAGCTGTCCATGTTGGCTGGCATGAACAAAGTCTCGGATTCAGGAAGCTCAAACACCTCAATGTTCCGACCCGGAGAGAAGTTCGACCCCAGAATTATTTCTTCCATGTCCTCTTCCTCCTCGTACCTCTCTTCCTAAAATAAATCTCATATTATGAAATCAGACACTCGCCCAGATGAATGTTTAACATTGTGCCAATAACACTAGGCTGGTCTGGATGAGACATGTTTACATTTAAAAACAAACAACACGAGCAACACTCTGAATTGACAGCAAGGCCACCAACACCCTTTACATAACTTTCAGATTTTGTCTGCTCCAGTAAATCCTGTTTAGTCTTTGCGCAGCCTCTTTGTTGCAAAAGCAAAGGATTGTGGTGGCGTGAACTTCAGAAAGCAAACATTTCACAACTCTGACGGACAGATGGCAGCTGAATGAACATTCTCCAACACAGCAGACTGGTGACACACGGCTTACTCAAGGCCAGATGCTAATTTCCTGGATGAGTTGAGAGGGTTTGGTCTGGGAGCGGCAAAAGGGGCTAATGCTATGCTCATGACATGGCGGGATTACTTTAATTACAGAATTAAGACTTGTAAAACAAAAAAACCTTGTGAATACAGTATGAGCAAACATGTGTGAGGTCTTGGTGACCAGCTGACTCACCTCCTCTGTCGAGTGTTCATAAAGGTCATCCAGGTGATGCTGATGTTGGTTCTTCTCCTGCTCCAGGGTCTCACTTATGAGGCGTGCAACCTCGCTCTGGGTTCCTGGCTTCTCCCGACCAACCAGGAACCTGTTAGAGGCAGGACCCACATGATTTAAAACATGTCGTTTAGAAAGCCCTCGGGGCACAGCCTTCTGCAACTTTCACTAGAAATATGCAAACCTGAAAGATATTTCAGACCTGAACTTGTAAGAGTGTGTGGGTGATTTCCCTAACACAATTATGTGTGCTGCCCCTTACAGTCCGTTTATCACAGAACCCCAAAGTACAGATGTACTAACTTTTTACAGGATTAGTGTTAAATAACAGCAGTGAACTCTCACTGGCAGCTAGAGTTTTACTGTAACGCTCTTTCCAGAGGTGAAGGAGAGGTTGAGCTGACCTCACAGAGCCTTTAGTGTTCTTTAGGACTGTTGCAGCAAACAGCTGGGTTACTCCCACCAGGCTGACACCATCCACTTCTACTATCTGGTCATTCACCTGGATCCTGTATAAAACACACAACATGGTGGATCTGCTGGCAGGATTTCAGAGGATTTTAATCTAGTGAGATATGAACACTTCAGAAAACACTGGATAAAAAATTTTACTGTGAGATTTTAAAGTGTTCTTAATTACGAAGCCGTACATATGAGCATGTGTTGTAAAAACATGAAATAAGTCATTTTTGACTGAAGTTTACAGCTGAACACATAGTTTTCGGAGCAAACTCACCGGCCGTCCTTCTCAGCAGCTCCGTTTTCTGTTATTGTTTTCACAAAAATGCCAAGTTTTTCCAAACCCTGGTCGGCTCCCACTCCCATTCCGATGATACTGATACCGAGCCCATTGTCTCCTGGTGGCAGAGACATTATTAGGACCAAAGAACTGACACAAACAAGCTGAAGTCCACATCTTCAGACAGACACACAGTTCTTAATCAGGATTAGGCACATTCTGATTGAAACTAAGACTTTTTTTTTAAGAATAAACTGATATAAATAAACTGGATTCATTTTAGCCAGTTCTGAAATCTCCAGCTTCTATGACCTGCCAAGTGTTCTCGTTTTAAATCCACCTTTTTCAATTTCCACAGGAAACACATCCATCTTCTCCACCCTCTTCTCAAGCTCATACTCAGCAGACGCGGCGACTGGGTCAACGTCATCGTTTCGTCGATCATAATCCTCGTTGGAGAAGGTACTGAAGACCTGTGTAGATCAAATTAAAATTTTCACTGTAACTTTTGCTTGAAGAACTAAAGCACTGGTGTGGTGCTCGAGCCTACAGCTGCGGAGGAGCAGAGGGTGATTTGGACCCTCAGATCAGAACTTTATGCCTTAGTTTGTTAGGTATAAAGCTCTTAAATCTAAAGCTATCTATCTATGGAGGCTTTTTGAACACATTTAATGACATTAAAGAAGTTGTAAAACTTGCAAGTTGGCTTCTCAAAGCGTTGGACGAGTCTGAAAAGGAGTTTTCTGGTTACAATTATAAAGAACAGACAGCCAGTAAAGGAAGATCATGAGCAGTGTGAAAAGTAGGACACATCTGGAAAGAGCCAAGCAGGGGAAAAGATGGATGCTTACAAATTTAACAGCATTTTCTTCCAGAGAGTAATGGGAAACAAAAAGGTGTCAACGAAATAAATGTATATTTACATTAGATTTTAGTGAACAGCATTTTAAAACCAGGCTTGGAAACAGAAATGATTAAACAAATGTTAATGTCCAAAACGACGTTAAATTAGCAGAACCATGTAGGGAAGTGTTGATTTGTCAGATTGCTGCAGAAATGCATTTCCTCCATCCCACTGCAGCTTTTTGTTTTTCTATGCTCTGCAGCTCAGTCCCACTCATCTAACAATGTCCAGCAGAGAGAACAGCCAATTGTCTCTGATCCTTTCCACCAAATCAAACCACAGCAATGAAAACCAGCCAGTCACCATCTGAAGAAACATCTTTGTTTCTTCATAAAAACCACCAGAGCTGAAAGGACGGGGTATGTGATTCAAATGTGGTCACAGAGCAGGTTGTTAACAGGAATTTACAAGTTCATTTAGATTCAAACTCAGAAGAGAGGATCTGTTGTTTGAAACAGGAGACATTTACATTTCAGGCATTTGCCACAAAATTCCCAAACAATCTATTATTTAAACTGAAATAAAATAAAATTTGTGACATGAAACTTGAACTAAATCAAAGTGCAGCATCACCGTTAGCCACCTGGTGCTAGCCTGGCAAGCCAGACTAAATAAATGTATTATTTAGTCTAGCCACGCTCCATTGACGGCTCTCGGTTGTGGGGCGAGTTCTACCGTTGTCTTTCAAATGATCTCCGCATTCCACTGGACAATGACTACGTTTACATGCAGCCAATATCCGGGTTATGGTCGGCATTCGGGTTTCTGAGTTGATCAGAATAACCCGTTTACAAGCACAAATAGAAAGAGTTACCCCTAACTTGCATAACCCGATGTAAATGCGGACGCTGGGGTAGCGTCAGGACGTGTGGACTACGTCCAGACGCAATATGCGTCATTTCCGGTTCTTCTCGTTCCGGTATCCGTGAAAACAACAACATTTTTCCCAGTTCGACCGCGTTTGTTTGTGCTTTAGTTTCTTCGTCACTCCGAAAGTGTAGTGCTGTGCTGCGACTCGCCATGTTGCTCCCTACTTGTTGTTTACTTCCGGAGTTCTGGCGCATACAAGACGTCTCTCTACTCAAAAGATCAAGATTCCTTGCGAACAGAGCATGCGCAGAACACACGCTTTGATGGGGATATCTCGATATGCGTTTACACGACCAAACATTCGGGTTAGAAAAGGGTTACCCCAGGTGTAGTAACCGGGTTTTTAAAAATCCGGTTATGAGCATATCCGGGTTTCTGGGGGTGTTTACGTGGACCTGCGGAACCGGGTTATTGTGAATATTCAGGTTTTAAAAGGGTTATTGGCTGCATGTAAACGCACTGAATGAATGTGACATACTCTTGTTTCACTCTGTTGCATCACCCCACCCACACGGCATATAGAGTGCCTTGATTGGCCCACAAAGCGGATAAAGCTCTGTTAATTGTTCACTAAGCAGATAGAGCACTATGATTGGCCCACCATTATGGACCAATCACAGCTCTTTATGTGTTTGAAACCCCTCTAGAGAGCTGTGATTGGCTAGCCAGAGTTCTGGTAGGAGCTGCGGAGGTTCCAATGGAGCGTGCCTAGAAGAAACTTTGCAAAGCAAGAATTTGGTCTAGTTCACTAGGCTAACCTGGTGCTGGTTTCACTTAACACCATATAATTCAACATTCTTGTTTAAACAATACAAATTCTTGAACTTGAGGCCTCAACACAGTGGATCAGAGACCACTGTCAGACCAACAACTGTGCCAAGTGAAGCCATTTTCCATAGCTATCTTGAAAATTTCCAAATATAATTCAACTACATGACACACAAGGGCAAGGCCTTTGTAGTAGCACTCACTCGGGACTCTTGTGGAGAATTTACAGCAAGTTTCCGACTAAAATCTCAGAAGAACACTGATGCAATTTATGATTAAAGACTTTCTTACGGAAATTTTTACCAAGAATTATGAGTGAATGTGTAGACAGGGTCCATGCTCCCTTTCTGCTGAATTTAGATTTCTATTTATTTCTTACTACAGTGGATCTGCTGTAAACATACATTTTCCCTGTTCAGCTCTTTTATGATGCACTGCTAGACGTGTGCTGCACCCAACCCTCGCTCTCATTCATGTTGAGACAGACCAAGAGCAGAAATAATAATGCTATATTCAAGTCAGCAAAAGTGCAAAAAAAAATCAATAAATATAAATAATGTTTGAGTAATTAAAGTTCTGAATAGAACATGTGAGATAACACATTTGATTAGAGATTAACAGACTCTGAGAGGGGCTAATACCAGATTACTGAGATAAAAACTAATGATGCCCCAACTGGGAGTTTAACAGTTGAGTCACAATGATTCTGTCATAAATGTCTAAAACCCTCTGTAACAGGAGTTGCAGCTTTCAGTAATCAGACTATGCTAACAGCAAAAAAGCAAAATAAAAAAAAATAAAATAAAAAAGGGTGCTTCAGATTAAATTTGGAAAGACATCATAGAAGTTGTAGTAATCAAACTGAGCCTAATTTGTTTTTTCACACAAGTTGTGTTGGGATGCAGGAAACACACACACGAGGGACCAAAAGAGGAAGAAAGTAGGATAAGATAAACTTTGTTAGCAGAGCTATGTGCTAGCTAGCAGACGGGATTGACCGATATAAACAGGTTGGCTGATATGGCGGGCGTATATTTAATCATTTTTATTGGCTAAAATACCTTTTTTTTATTAAGAGCCGATTTAAAGTCAGGCACTTCAATGGATACCCAGACAGGAAGTCTCAGAAAAGAGGGGGTTGTTGATGCTGCTGCTCAGTCAAAAGGTTTCATTTATATTTTACATGAAGATGTTTATTATTAGTAAAAAGCATACAAGACGGAATGCACTTTAGATGTTGCAGGTGTGTTTTTAAATGATTCTATTTTGTTTCCATCACTATTTTATTTAGTTTTTATTTGTTTGATTTAGAAAAATGTTCAGTAAATTTTTTACACTGTAAAGTTGTATTTATTTGATTTAAATGTATATTCATGTTCCTGAAAAATGTCTCCTTAATAAATGCTCTAACATTATTGTTAACGGACATTTCTTTTCAAAAGGAAAACCTGTATCGATCGATATTGCAGAGTGGACACCATTGTGTAAATCAAGAATAATTCTACAAACAAAATAACAAATCATTGTTTTAAAGATATTGGCCAGAGGCAAAATTTATTTGAATGGCATGTGTAAAGAAGTATTAAAACCTCAGATGAAAAAGGTTTTTGGATTTTCACGGCTGGAATTGAAAGAAAATCTGATATTTTTTACTGGCGCGGAAAAAACAGAAACTTAACTTCCGGTCTAAGCCCTGGGCAGCTGGTGACGTTTCACAAGGAGATCTGCTGAAGCAGCTGTAGTAAACAACCCCCGACTCCGGTGTTTCTGCGTTAGCGTTATAGCAGAGAACAATGTGTCATCAGTCAGATGTAGCTTCTGAAGCCTCTCTGCTAGTCGGTCAGATTTTTTTTTTCCTCTGGGATACGGCGACAAGAACGGAATTTGGATTACTGGAGATGTTCAACTGAACTCCGTGCCCTGCAGCTGGATATCAGAACCGGAGGTGCAGACAGGCTTTGGACCATTTCACTCAGAAAACCCGCGGCCCGATTAGGACACCGGGGAGGATTCTGTTCATCTTTGGAACCAAAATCGGTACAGTTTGTTAAATATTTCATGTCTGTGCTCCATGGGCAGCTTTTAGTTAAGTTCTCAGCTGATTAGCTCCATCATATTGTCCCAATATAATTCAGTAATCTACAGATGAGTAAAATAACATGTTGCCAGCTTTACCGCTGTGTATTTATTGATATAACATCAGAAAATATTTAACCGATTGGTTACCACAATAAATCTTCCTGATGCTAACTCGCTAGCTTGGATCGTTGTTTTCTAATCCACGATGACACGGAGGTTCTACCGGTCCTATAGGAAGATCTATTGTTGAAGAATGGGGATCATATTTTAGATTATATCTGTATGTGTGTGTGTGTGTGTGTGTCGTAGCTTTCACAAATTACTTGTTTATTATTTACCGGAGCTAACACGGTTAGTGCTGTGGCAGTCATGCTAACGGGACTCACCTGCTGGAGTCCAGAAGTGTTCGTTTCAGCCTCACAGGCTCAAGGGCACCAGATTCAGATAAGAAATTGTTTTGGGGCCAGACAGAGATAATTTCTTCTCTGTCTTAAGGTTCCACTGGTCCTCAACCTCACAAAATCCAATAACGGTGTAATTAATCTATCCCAATCCGTGCCGATTTGTCCACTCGCTCCTTGATCGCATCAATCTTTTGTGCCAATGCATGAATCTCAGCCAAAGTTCCAAGCTTATGACTCATTGACAATTATATGAGTCTGTGCATTCACAGCACGGTGTAATCCATCCCTGAACTCCGGGAAAGAGTCAATATTCATCGACAGCTCGTTAATTTTCCAGTAAGCCAGGTAACCTCCCAGGCCAAAAAGCAGGAAACCTGACACCAACACCACGAATATCCATACGTCTTCAGAATCCTCTACAGACAGTTGAGAGAGGTATATCAGGTTC